GAAAAAAGTTTTAACTCCCAACGAGGCAGTGGACTGCAGGTACATAGAGTTTTAACTTGAATTCTTTTTTAAAAAAAGTATTAGTTTTACATACCAACTGCTACGTTTTGACACTTAGTTAATTCCCATTTTTGTTTCTTTTTCTTGACTTGTATCAAAACTTTCAAATTATCACAGGGTTTTGGGCATTGGAGCAATTTCGTCCAGAGAGCTTATAGTAGTTGCCACAGTACAGAGATGTGAATTAGAAGGATCTTATTGAGTGAGCATGGTCTCTTATTCTCTTTTCATTCATCACTGGATTTTTATGTTAAAAATTCATTTTATATCTCTTATGTATTGCATTTTATATATTTTAAGGTAAGATATTGACATATTGAAAATGTTGCAGCAAATCAATATGACAACGTCATGGGTTCAAACTAGGAGCGGATGACGTCGGTTAAAAGAGGGGCAGATGAGGAGATGAAAGAGAAAATAGTTTTAACTCCCAACGAGGCAGTGGACTGCAGGTACATAGAGTTTTAACTTGAATTCTTTTTTTAAAAAAGTATTAGTTTTACATACCAACTGCTACGTTTCGTCACTTAGTTAATTCCCATTTTTGCTTCTTTTTCTTGACTTGTATCAAAACTTTCAAATTATCACAGGGTTATGGCCGTTGGAGAAATTTCGTCCAGAGAGCTTATAGTAGTCACCACAGTACAGAGACGTGAATTAGAAGGATCTTATTGAGTGAGTACCTTCTCTTATTCACTTTGCATTTATCACTGGATTTTTATGTTAAAAGTTCATTATATATCCCTTATGCATCACATTCTATATATTTAAGTTTAGATATTGACATATTGAAAATGTTGCAGTAAGTCAATATGACAACGTCATGGGTTCGAACTAAGAGAGGATGGAGTCAGGTAAAAGAGGGACAAATGAGGAGATGAAAAAGAACAAAGTTTTAACTACTATCGAGGGCAGTGGACTGCAGGTACATAGAGCTTTAACTTGAATTCTTATTTAAAAAAAGTATTAGTTTTACATACCAACCGCTACATTTCGTCACTCAGTTAATTTCCATTTTTGCTTCGTTTTCTTGACTTGTATCAAAACTTTCAAATTATCACAGGGTTATGGGCATTGGAGCAATTTCGTCCAGAGAGCTTATAGTAGTCACCACAGTACAGAGACGTGAATTAGAAGGATCTTATTGAGTGAGCACGGTCTCTTATTCTCTTTTCATTCATCACTGGATTTTTATATTAAAAATTCATTTTATATCTCTTATGTATTGCATTTTATATATTTTAAGGTAAGATATTGACATATTGAAAATGTTGCAGCAAATCAATATGACAACGTCATGGGTTCAAACTAGGAGAGGATGAAGTCAGTTAAAAGAGGGGCAGATGAGGAGATGAAAGAGAAAATAGTTTTAACTCCCAACGAGGCAGTGTACGGCAGGTACATAGAGCTATAACTTGAATTCTTTTCTTTTTTAAAAAAAGTATTAGTTTTACATACCAACCGCTACATTTTGGTCACTCAGTTAATTCCCATTTTTGCTTCTTTTTGTTGACTTGTATCAAAACTTTCAAATTATCGCAGGGTTATGGGCATTGGAGCAATTTCGTCCAGAGAGCTTATAGTAGTCGCCATAGTACAGAGACGTGAATTAGAAGGATCTTATTGAGTGAGTACCTTCTCTTATTCACTTTGCATTTATCACTGGATTTTTATGTTAACAGTTCATTATATATCCCTTATGCATCACATTCTATATATTTTAAGTTTAGATATTGACATATTGAAATGTTACAGTAAATCAATATGACAACGTCATGGGTTCAAACTAAGAGAGGATGGAGTCAGGTAAAAGAGGGGCAGATGAGGAGATGAAAAAGAAATTTTTTTTAACTCCCAACGAGGGCAGTGGACTGCAGGTACATAGAGCTTTAACTTGAATTCTTATTTAAAAAAAGTATTAGTTTTACATAGCAACCGCTACATTTCGTCACTCAATTAATTCCCATTTTTGCTTCGTTTTCTTGACTTGTTTCAAAACTTTCAAATTATCACAGGGTTATGGGCATTGGAGAAATTTCGTCCAGAGAGCTTATAGTAGTCGCCACAGTACAGAGACGTGAATTAGAAGGATCTTATTGAGTGAGCACGGTCTCTTATTCTCTTTTCATTCATCACTGGATTTTTATGTTAAAAGTTCATTTTTTATCTCTTATGTATTGCATTTTATATATTTTAAGGTAAGATATTGACATATTGAAAATGTTTGTAGATGTTTGTTTGAATTTTGATTATTTGTGATATTTTTGTTACATTTGATAGGTTGATTACATTGTATTTTGATTCAAAATCTTTGTAATTATTTGTTGTTTGAATATTGTTACTTGTTACGAGACGTTTAGTATCTTCAATTTGAAGTGTTTGATTTCATTTTATCTTTTTGCTCTTTGTATGTTGTTTGATTTGTCAATCATATTTTTATTCTTGGGACTTTTGTTTACGAGTTTTTTGTTCTAGAATTTCAATAGCGTTTGGTCAGTTCAATTGTTTACTTTTTTCATGCTCTCTCTTTTTTTCGTAAATTTATTGTGAATTTTTGTAAATATTGTATTTTCATTCTAAATGTTTGTGAGTGTTTCCTATTTCTCTCTTTTTGTGGCTTTTGTTTGATTTTTTTTTATTATTTTTTTATTATTTTTTATTATTTATTATTATTTTTTTATATATATTTGTAATCTCAGTAGATTTCGTCTTTCTTGATGCCGTCCCATTTAGTATTAAATTTGAGGTGGTTGATTTTCATTTTTTTCCCCTTTTTCTTTTATTTGGTTTATTTTGATTAAAAATCTTTTATGTTTGTGGTTTCAAATTCTGATTGCTTTTGATGTGTCTGGATGTTCCATGTTCCGTTTAGTATGGAAAGACTCCTATGCTTATGATTTTTATATATATTACAATAATTCTTCTAATTTGTTTAATTTTCATATCTCATTTCTAAATTTTGTTTAGTGATTCTTTGGTTATTAGGATTTTCAACTCTGGGGCGATCTTGTTTTTCATAGTTGTGCTACTTAAATCTTTGTTATTTTTTTTTTGTTTATATTTGAATGTATTCTGTTTTTTTTGAAATGGTTAATCTTAGAATTGAATTCAACTCTGGGGCGATCTTGTTTTTCATAGTTGTGCTACTTAATCTTCATTATTTTTTTTTTGTTTATATTTGAATGTATTCTGTTTTTTGGAATGGTTAATCTTAGAATTGAATTCAACTCTTGGGCGATCTTGTTTTTCATAGTTGTGCTACTTAATCTTCGTTATTTTTTTTTGTTTATATTTGAATGTATTCTGTTTTTTGGAATGGCTAATCTTAGAATTGAATTCAACTCTTGGGCGATCTTGTTTTTCATAGTTGTGCTACTTAATCTTTGTTATTTTTTTTTTGTTTATATTTGAATGTATTCTGTTTTTTGGAATGGTTAATCTTAGAATTCTTTGTTATTTTTTTTTTGTTTATATTTGAATGTATTCTGTTTTTTGGAATGGTTAATCTTAGAATTGAATTCAACTCTTGGGCGATCTTGTTTTTCATAGTTGTGCTACTTAATCTTTGTTATTTTTTTTTTGTTTATATTTGAATGTATTCTGTTTTTCATAGTTGTGCTACTTAATCTTTGTTATTTTTTTTTTGTTTATATTTGAATGTATTCTGTTTTTTGGAATGATTAATCTTTCACTTAAAGCAATTTGTATTTGAGTCAGTTTTGTAACCTAGAGTAACCTCATTATGCACTTCCCTATCATTTTTTCATTTTTAATTGTAGATAGGTTCGGATTTAGGAAACAATATTTGTTATATACATCTAGTTATTCTCTGTAATCAACAAGGTAGCATAATTTTCTATGTAAAATTGATAAGAACTTCCTGACATTATTTTTTTGTTTTAAGTTTTGATTTTGATTTATCTAAAACTATTAGTCATGCGACAATTTCGAATTAGCTTTGTCTACGTGAATACTCGCCTTAAATGAAAATGTATTCAACCATATCAGCCTCTATTCGAAGAGTCCTTCTCACACATTACTGATTCAAAAATGAAAATAATGTGTAAAATTGGATTCAATTTTCAACTACTCCTATCGTAAATAAGATTGACTACGGATTCGAGCCATAGCACACGGTTTTATAAAATTGTACGATTTTTCTGATCTAAATAAAGTTGGTTTTACATGAAGAAGATTTGTCTAGAACATGTTAAACTCAGTATTATTAAAAAAACAGAGAAATTGGAAAACCTTCTTGTGCCAAAGATCTTACCATTTCTGAAGGAACTGGAGTTAAATCTCTGTTCTATTTCGAGAGTATTATACAACCTTATTTAAGTTTTCAATGGAAAAGTGTATTGGAAATTAATAAATAAATAATTTCTGTGAAACACTTATTTTTTTATATTATTATTATTTTTTTATAATGTGCAAAATTGGATTCAATTGTCAACTGCTCCTATCGTAAATAGGATTGACTATGAATTCGAGCCATAGCACAAGGTTTTATAAAATGTACCATTTTTCCGATCTAAATAAAACAGGTTTTACATGACGAAGATTTGGTTCTAACATGTTAAACTCGGTATTATTAAAAAAATGGAGAGATCTGTAACCCTTCTTCTTGTGTCAAGGATGTTACCATTTCTGAAGTAACGTAACCTAATTGAAGTTTTCAATGGAATAGTTTATTGGAAATTAATAAATAAATAATTTCTGCCAAACACATGAATAGAGAATTTTGTTAAGAAACAAGCATAATGGGCTTAAAGGACACCCAAAGCCCAACAAGAAGTTGAGAGAGAGAGAGAGAGAGTAGAGGAGGGGAAGATCTCTCACCCAAAAGATTGTGCTTAACGTCGCATCTGATCTGACAACAAAATACCACCAATCCCCTTCTTCCAAATCCAAAAAAAAAAAAAAAAGAAGAATCCTCTAAAACCCCAGCATTTAAAATCCTAAACCCCATCGATTCCCACTTTAATTCTTACTAAAATTAAAAAAGAAAAGAAAAACAAAAATAAAATATGACTGTGATCACAGAGAGCTGGGTTCATCACAGGCATTGCAATGGCAAATGTTTTTGTTTTCCTTCTTCTTCTTCTCTGTATTTAATCCTTAAATCAAACTGGGTTCGCTTATTATATTTTTATTCATCTCAGTTCCAACATCAATTTCAATGGCGAGAAATTTTTTCTGACTCGCCACTGCCTCTTCTGCTACTGCTACTGCTACTGCTGCTTCCTATGCTTTCACTACTGTTTGATTTTGGGTTCTGTTTCCCTTTTTTCCTTTTTTTCTTTTCCATTTTTTGTTCGTTTCCAGTCATGCCCACATCTCAGTCACACTTGCTTCTCTTGTTTTGATTCTCCCTAGAGAGAGAGAGAGACGTCTATCTATCACTCTTGATGGAACGAAACCTTCCGTCAAAACCTAATTCCATTATTCTTTAATGGGAGAGAATGCTTTAAGATCACCAAAAGATATGTAGCTCTCTGCTTCCTCTACCCTCTTCTTTTTCTCTTTTGTTTGCACTTGCCGTGATTCTCTGGGATTTTTCCTTTTTCGGGTATGAAATGAATTTAATGGGTGAGAGATTGAGTATTGTGTGGTGGTAACTTGGGTTTGGCTGTTTTGTTATTTTGGGCTTTCTGGGTGGGTTGGGTGAGGATTGGAGCTTTGTCTTGTTGACAATGGAGGTTAGTTCTGAGGGAGAGAAGAAGCCACCACCACCTGTGGAGGCGACGAAGACCAAAAGGAAAATGAAGACTGCTTCGCAATTGGAAATTCTTGAGAAGGCTTATATGGGTGTGTGGTTTCTTTGTTATAACTTCTTTTCTTTGTGGAATGAACGAATGGTGGTTGTTCCTTTGTTGAGTTTATAGTGAATTGCATTTGTTTTGATGTTGATGTAGTGGAGCCTTATCCATCGGAAGCACTACGAGCTGAGTTGTCGGTGAAGCTGGGATTGTCGGATAGGCAATTACAGATGTGGTTCTGTCACCGGAGGTTGAAAGACCGGAAGCCGCCACCAGTTAAGCAACCAAGGATGCCTTCTCCAACCATGACGGTAGCTGCAGATGTGAACCCAGTTGGGGGAAGTGGTGAGAAGAATGAGAGCACTTCAGGATTGGGGAAAGGGTCAAATGCCTATGCTCATCCAGTGGACGTGAGGCCTGGAGTGGCTGTTGCGAGGATTGGCCTTAACTTACCTTCAATGAACAAGTTCTATGAGTCGCAGCAGTCTATTGCAGAGCTTCGGGCCATTGCTTTAGTAGAGGCTCAGCTAGGAGAAGCTTTGAGGGAGGATGGACCAATTCTTGGCATGGAGTTTGACCCTCTGCCACCAGGGGCATTCGGGGCACCGATAGGTAAGATTGATTATTTGTACAAACAACCCATGATTTCAGTTGTTCTTTAGGAATTTTGGATAATCTGTTTAAGGGTCGTTGTGTTTACTGCTGTTTGTGTTTTTGCAAGTAAATACTATTGTTTTCAGACACTTGAGTGAGTGTTTCATGTTGCTATAGGAGTCACTGCTGTCAGTGATGATGAGAAGAAAACCGGACAGTTTTTTGAGGGTAGTAAGCAAAGAGATATAGAGCAGATTGAGGTCAGTCTTCCTTCTTTCATTCACATATTATCACTCTTTTGCTCTGAAATGAAGCTAAAACGGTGTCTTTCCTTTGTCCTTTTTATTTCATAGCATCATCAGATGTCTGGGAGAACTCTGCACGAATACCAGTTTCTTCCAGAACAGCCAACTGCAAAATCTGATGAACGCGAGAGAGATACCTCATCTTACCAGTATGGTACTCATGCAAATGTTCATAGTATCAGCAGGACTCTGCCGATGGCTTCTGGACACTCATTTTTGCATGGACATGAACAAATGTCCTCCAGCTATTGTTCTCAAGTTCAGATGCCCAACCTGAATATAGTTGCTCAGCAAAGCAGACGGAGCCACAACTTATTATCTTCCATGGGCGAGCATGATAATAGTTTATGCAGGAGTTCTCTTGTAAATATTTCTATGAATCCTCTATATGGCACTCACTCAACTTCTCATCCAGAATTTACATCCGTTCTATCTGATAAGAGGGTCGTTCGTGGAAACAATGTTGTATGGATTGAAAAGAAGAGCAAGGTATAGTGAAGATGTTATAGTTTTATAGTTTTTACAAATGAAAATTTATTTCTGTATTTGTTTCTACAAGAATGATGAGGCCAGAATAGCACGGGAAGTTGAAGCTCATGAGAAAAAGATGCAGAAAGAACTAGAGAAACAAGATGCTCTGAGGAGAAAGGTCTTATATTTATCTTTTGTGAATTATGCCTTACATGTTTCTTGTGGAAACTCATCCTTTTTTTTCCCTCTCTCTCTCTCTCTCTCTAGAGAGAAGAGCAGATAAGGAAAGAAATGGAAAGGCATGACCGAGAAAGGCGAAGGGAAGAAGAAAGACTGTTGCGTGAGAAGCAAAAGGAGGAAGAAAGATGCCTAAGGGAGCAAAGGCGTGAAATGTTGAGGAGAGAGAAGTTCTTGCATAGAGAGTCCATTAGAGTCAGTTTGGTGGCCCATAGCTAATTGTATTCTTCTTGTTTTATTAATTAAGTGATTTACTTCCCCAAAATGTATATATATTTAGGCTGAGAGAATTAGACAGAAAGAAGCACTGCGCAGGGAAAGAGAAGCAGCAAGGCTTAAAGCTGCCAATCAGAGGGCCGCTGCTCGCCAGATGGCTAAGGAATCAACAGAACTTGCTGAGGATGAACGCCTGGAACTCATGGAGTTAGCTGTGTCAAGCAAGGGATTACCTTCAATAATGTCTCTTGATCAAGAAACTTTAGAAAATCTGGAGTTATTTAAAGGTTCATGTTTCTATTAACTTCCTTGGTTGTTTAAATTCATTGACTATCAAGAATGTTCTTTCCCTTGCACGTAGTGACCATTTTTCAACTTCTTTTCATTATTCAGCAACTTAGCTATTGACATAAGTTACATGTAGGTATGCGGCCAAACTTTCCACCTGAATCTGTGCAAATGAGAAGGCCTTTTCCAGATCATCCTTGGATTGAATCTGAAGCGAATGTGGGAAACCTTCTCATGGTAAGATTTATTAGGTGTTCTATTTGTTTTCATTCTTTTAGCATTGATTGAGAGTGGAATTTATACTTCATAATTGATGAGAGTATTCTGTTCCCTCTGGCTGGGAGGCATATATTGCCATTGAAGAAACTGTTCGAAAATGATCTATTATATGAATGCTGAACTGTTATGTGTATTTCTAGGCGTGGAAGTTCTTGGTTACTTTTGCTGATGTTCTTGGCCTTTGGCCTTTTACTCTTGATGAGTTTCTTCAAGCTTTTCATGATCACGTAAGTTCTTGTCTTAAAACTCTCTTTATCTATAACCGGACTTTTGAATCTGCCTTGTGATACTCATCATTTATTGCCCTACAATATTTCAGGACTCGAGGTTATTAGGTGAAGTACACATTGCTGTTCTGAAATGCATCATAAAGGATGTTGAGGATGTTGCTAGAACCTCCTCTATAGGTCTAGGATTCAATCAGAGTAGTGGTGCCAACCCTGGAGGTGGCCATCTGCGAATAGTTGAAGGGGTGAGGCTCCTTGGTGGTTATTACTACTCTTAAAGTTTATCCATGTTTCTAATATGGTTCTTTGTTCACCATCAAGTTGCGTTGTTGGCACTCTATATCAGGCATATGCTTGGGGTTTTGACATATGCAGCTGGCAGCAACATTTAAATCCTTTAACATGGCCTGAGATACTTAGACAGTTGGCCTTATCAGGCGGGTTTGGTCCTCAACAGAGGAAAGGGGGGAATGCTGAACCAGCACATCATGATGAAAATGAGGTGAAATTCTTTTGTCCGGCTTTGAAGAATGTGGAAGCTGCTGACTAGGCTTTGTTTTCTTTTATTGTCTCTGTTTAACATATGATCTCTTATCAGGTGAAAAAGAATACTGTTATTTTTTTTTTTTATTAAAAAGGGTTCCTATTTCTATTTTCTCTTGCTCCTTGTGAAGCAGGGTAATGATGTTGCAGACATCATTTCAAATTTACGCAATGGTTTGGCTGCAGAAAAAGCTGTTGCTATAATGCAAGAAAGGGGATTCTCCAATCAACGCAAATCTAGGCATCGATTGACTCCTGGAACTGTAAAATTTGCAGCTTTCCATGTTCTTTCTCTTGAAGGAAGCAAAGGTCTTAATATTGTTGAAGTTGCAAATAAAATTCAGGTACTTGGTCAAAATTAAACGTCTGAACTTTATCCTTTCTAATGTTTACGCTACTAATTTGCCGTTTCTTTTCAAGAAATCTGGACTTCGGGATCTTACAACAAGCAGGACACCTGAAGCATCTATTGCTGCTGCATTGTCTAGAGACTCAAAATTATTTGAAAGGACTGCTCCTTCAACGTATTGTGTCCGCTCTCCCTATAGGAAAGACCCTGGCGATGCAGATGCCATACTTTCTACTGCAAGGGAGAGAATTCGCACATTCAAAAGCGGGATTTTGGATGGGGACGATGCTGAAAGAGATGATGGCTCAGAAGTTGATGTTCCTGAGGATGCTGAAGTTCATGATTTGGGCACTGGAGGAAATTTAACAAAACAACATCAAAGTCCTGAAGTATGCCCTCTAGATGAAATGACTTCTGTTGCAAGTGGAAATGGATGTAATGAGATTAGTGATATTTGTAAAGTCGGTATGGCGAATGGTGGTCCTTATACAGCTATCTTGGACATCAAAGGTAGGGTAAAGGGGGAAGAAAGTCCTCCCATTGAACAACCTATTTATATTTCTGGAATTTGCATTGGTCAATATCAAGAAGATTCAACTTCTGATGAAGGTGATCATGGTGAACCTTGGGTCCAGGGTCTTACTGAGGGAGAGTATTCTGATCTTAGCGTTGAGGAGCGACTTAATGCACTATGTTCATTAATTGGAGTGGCACTTGAAGGAAACTCAATGCGAACCGTCCTTGAAGTATGTCTCTACTGCACTTTCGACATAACTTGATAAAAACGCCTTCAGTCCTTTTGTTTCTTTCATCTTATAGATTCCATGTTTTACAGGAGCGTCTAGAGGCTGCAAATAGTTTGAAGAAGCAAATGTTGGCAGAGGCGCAAATTGACAAGCGACGTGTCAAAGAAGAGTACGTCTTGCAGATCCATGACTCTTCGAGTGTGGGAAACAAGTCTGAATTTAAAACTATGTCGTCATTGGATGCAACAAGGCTCAGTGCAATTCTAAATATTGGGGAAGAAAATAGAGAAGGACCATTAGACACTGGTTTTCAGCAAGAGGACTGTCATAGTTCACATAATAATTGCCCCTCGGAAGGACTGCAAGTGCAAGATGTACTTGTTGAGGCAGATAATTCACAGCTTCAACATTCAGTAGTAGCGGTTGAAAAGTCAAGGTCACAAGTGAAATCTTATATTGGACACAAAGCAGAAGAGATGTATGTGTATAGGTCTTTACCTCTTGGTCAGGATCGAAGGCGTAATCGATACTGGCAATTTACTTCATCTGCTTCTCGAAATGAGCCTGGTAATGGCAGAATTTTTGTTGAGTTGCATAATGGGTCTTGGAGGCTTATCGATTCTGCTAAGGTATTATATGTCAAATTCTTACATGTAACATAACTAATGCTTTAACTAAAGTTTTGATGCATCACTCTTAACTAAAATTCAAGTGAATGTGAAGCAAAATTTCACTAGCTGCTGCATTGTCCGATATCATCCCCAAAAAAAAAAAAAGTCTCATTAGGATGATCCCAATTAACTATAAATTCAGATGTAACGATCCATTGTTCATCATATCTATCGAAGATTGCAAGCGTGGCTAAGGTTCTCTGCTTGTTGATTTTTATCGAACTGTTGGATGTCCATGCAGGGATTTGATGCTCTCTTAGCTTCTTTGGATGTCCGTGGGATCAGGGAATCTCATTTGCATCTCATGCTACAAAAATTAGAAAAATCTTTTAAAACAGCTACTAGGGGGAATATACTGCAAGATAGCCAGAGGACGGGTGAAGATGCTGCTGGCCAGCATTGCAATGCTCATAATAATGGTCCTAGTAATACTGTATATGCAGATAACCATGATGGATTTGAAAGTTCAACATCCTTCAGAAGTGAGGCTGAAGAAACTGGTTCAGATACGACTGAATCATTAAAGAGATACCTTGATTTCGAGAGCTGGATGAGGAGAGAGTGCTTCAGTCTTTCAGTTCTATCCGCTAACAAACATGGAAAGAAGCAGGGCACACAATTACTAGGTATTTGAGATCTTTATCAATTCATTTATTCTGAAAATTTCCACCATTGCCGTTCTTCCATCTTATATTTTCCTGAACACATGGTCCAACGTATAGAGAACATTGGTCTATCTTGGTGTTCATCTTCCCCCTTGAGGATTAGATTACTTAAGATGCTGTTGACTTTGATTGAGGTGAGTTCCCTTCAGTTGTAGTGTAGCTTCAACTATTTATATTGACTGTCATTTATGGTGCTACTGTCGTTTTTCTTATCTGGCGCATAGGTTTCCATTCCAGGGGAAGCTTTTCAACCATCCTGGACAGATTTCGAAAGAAAAACTTGGAGTTCGAAACTTCTGTCTTCATCCTCTGCTGAGGACGTTCTTCAGGTTAATATCTAAATGCACTTGATCACCTTTTCCCTTTTTCATCTGTGCCCGCCCCCACTCGAATCATTATGTTAGATGACGCACTATTTCGTTATACCACAACTATAAGATGTAAGGAAGTTCAACAATCTCGAGAGTATGTGTATGCTACAAGAGTGACGGTTCGCTCCTTGTTCATTGGGACTCATTGGAACAGGACCAATATGACTCCTACTTGGGCACCCCTCCATTTTATACTATTAGTTATGGTATTCATTTTCCGGATGTCTTGGTTCTGATATTTGTTGGTTGGTTCTATACTTGAAGGGATTTTCCCCGTATTTCTTTAGCTAATCTTTTGCATTTGTTTCCTAACATCCTTGCTTTCAGATTCTGACTCTGTTGGAGAATGGCATTAAGCGAGACTTTATGTGGTCTAACTATGAGACCACCTATGAATTGTTGGCTTGTTTCAACCCAACAGGAAGTTACACTTGTCATAGTTCTTTCCCTGAAACAGTACCAGTTCTTCCATGGATACCACTTACAACGGCTGCTGTGGCCTTGAGGCTTTTGGAATTCGAAGCTTCCCTCTCTTACATTCTGCAGCAGAAAGCTGAGTCTCAAGCTCAGGGGTCAATGGACATAAAAGTGAGTCTTTCATGTTCATGTCCTGAATTTAGACTAAATCAAATAGACTGCTTTTGTCATTGTGCGTTCTTAACTTCATTGAGATATAGAGGTAGAAAGTATTGTCCCTCTCTAAGAAGGATGGACACAGGACAACGTGAATACGTTGAGACTTACAAATCTGAATGTGGTTACTAGAAGGATGTAAGAGGGAATACTATTTTATATACATGTTTTGCAACTTTGTGGGTCGAGTTTTTTCATTCACATTTACATTTATACAAGATAGGGAAGCAATTACCGAGTTAACAAGCTACACAACTTGTGACCGTGTGAGATCCCACATTCCTTATAAGAGTGTAGAAACCTCTTTCTAGTAGACATGTTTTAGAACCTTGAGGTCCCCTCAAAAGAGAGAGCCCAAAAAAGACAATATCTGCTAGCTATAGGCTTTGGCCGTTACAGGCCGTGTGCCCCAAATGTGTTTAGAACTTGTTGGAACATGTTCACGTCGTCCAAACCTGCAACAGTACTTGTAGTACCTTGACATGGCTTATTATTCTCCTAATGCTAAATTCATTGGTAGTACGAGTAAATACTCATTCTTAGTATGTTTGATATAGTTCTGATCTGACATCATTCTTTCATTTTTTTTAGCCCTTATCAGATTCTGCAACTGCTGTAATTTCAAATGAGCATGTCAAAGAAGCAAACTTGATATATGGCGGGGTTGGACCCTCAAGCTCTGATTATGGACAACTAGATAGCAAAAGAGGACATGGACGTATCAGAGGTGGAAAATCACATAAAAGAACCAATAGCATGAGGCCTGTATCTGATAAGAGTACTGGCAACAACCGAAACAACCGAAAAATATTAAGGCAGGTGCTAATGTGGGAGGACGGACAAATGGAAGAACAGGGAGGATTTAGGCGCGGTCGTCGGAGTGCTAGAAGCAGGCAAAAATCAGGAAGGAAGATCAAGTTTGGCTCTGAGGGAGGTCATCCTGAAGAAACTATCAATGAAACATCAAAATTATCTCTGGACAACAGTCATGAATGGAATGATGATCAGAACATAAGGATGCTGCAACGAAGTGATGGAAGTCCAAATAGTTCTGATAGGTTGATTTCCATTGATAACAGTGGTAGAGTTGAATACGATGATATGCTGGTAGATGACCGTGCTCGATCTTGGCAAGCTGGCTATCTACCGACTAGCCGAAGTTACAAAATGGATGAAGACAGAGAGGATGATCTCTCTGCTGGAGAGAGGGGTAATACCATGGACAAAGAATACAAAGAGTATGATCTTTCTGATGGAGGGAGGGGTAATGTCATGGACGAGGAACGAGATCTTTACGTTGAACACTATACGGATGGGGAGTACAATGAAGAAAGTAACAGGAATTTAGAGGATAATATGGAATTGCAATCCGCCTCCTCAGATTACAGTAACTGAAACAGGATTTGTGTTCTTTGTTGGATTTAAAGGCAGTGGCACAATCCTGAAAATGGAAGTGTTGGAACATCCCCTGTTTTGCCCACGTTCTCAATGGGAAGTGGATAGCCCACCTAAGGACTGATGCAGTGTCATTGTACAATACCATCCTGTTCATCTTGCAAGCTGAAGCTGATGATTAATAAGAACATGTACGTTTTCTAACAAAAGAACAGACTTTGTCATTTTAATAGCTTTATTGTCACCGCCACAATGAATGTACATCGCCCTCTTTTCAATAGGTATGATATGAGATAACTAAAATAGTTCTACAGAAGTTCAGAATCTCCATAATCAGATCTCTCCAGCATTCACTTATTTCAGGTAAAGAATTAATTTGGAGTTGCCCTAAGGAGACATATTTACGAACAAAAAAGTTGCTTAAATACAAAAAACAAGATGGACCCACTGTATTCGCAATGAGTGGTTCTTGAGTTGATTACAGAAAAACCAAGCCAACAAATCATAATATTACTGACCCAAGAGTTTCTTGATCCCAGCCTTCTGCTCGGTAGTCAGCCTTGAAGGGAACTTGATGCTAAATTTAATTCTCAAGTTCCCCTTCTTTGTTGAATCTTTCTGCATAGGCATTCCTTCTCTTGGGACGACCTCCTCGTAGCTTGGATTTACCACATTGTTGATTGGGATCGTTAGACTTCTCCCATCCAAGGTGGTGAGATGGACAGTGTAACCAGTCAACGCCTCGGCCAATGATATCTTTTGCGTGACAATTAGGTCGTTTCCATCGCGAGAGAACACACTGTGTGGCTTCTCGTCGATGATGAAAACAAGATCTGCAGGTATTACATTAGGCTGCTCGTTCCCTTTCTCGGGAAATGTGATCTTTGTTCCTTTCTTCCAACCTGGTTTTATGTCAATTGTTAAGATCTCTTCCACTGTTACAATCTTCCTGTACATACAAAACGCACGAGAGAGAGCGAGAGGGCGATGGATGAGTGTATATGATGGATGAGTGTATATACAGCGGAGCAGAGGGGGAACATGCAGCTTAAAATGAACATTTAATCCATGAAATCCACCAAACAAAAACCATTTTTCCTACATAGCAGGAAACATGAATTTACCTGTTCACAAGGGTAACAGACAACCAGCCAAACTCATCCCACAAGAGCAAATATTCAAGAGGATGAATGGCAACAATCCCAGAGTAAATGGTAGCATTCTTAAAGCTGAAGACCACACATTGCATATCCACACAAACATGCATTATCAAACAACATTCCATTTAGGAAAATGAAAAGGAGCAGCCATTTTGATAATCTAACAATACTTTTTAAACTCTTCAAAAGCTGAAGTCAAGTTAATGGAAGCTATTGAAGCCAAGTTTGAGCACGCAAGGGAATGCAATCAAATCTGTAGAACTACAGCAAAGAAAGATGATTACCCGCTCGTGTCTGAAACTTCTCGAGATATTTTCATTTTCTTGGTAGTTCCTTTGTACAAATCTTCAAGGCTACAAGGCAATTTGTTCTCAATTGGAGGAGCTTTACGAGAAGCAGCTTGGCTCATGGATCCTCCCCCACCTTCTCTAAAAGACGTAAATATATCATCACCAAAAATGCTACTTGAAAACCTTGGTCCCCCTCCCATTCCTCCAAACGGGTTCGAAGACCCAAAAAATTCCGCATAAATATCTTCAGCATTTCGCGGATTGAATCTAAATGTTGATGACCGGTCGCCGGTGGAAAAGAAGGAAGCTCCACCAGGACCACCAGCATCAGGCGGCGGCACCTGACCCTTTAAACCCTCTTCACCATATTGATCATAGATTTCTTTCTTCTGTGGGTCGCTAAGAACCTAAATTCAACATTGAAACAGAACCAAATCTAACATAAGGTAATCGAGATATCCAGCGAATTAGACAAAAACAAGAAGAGGAAGGAATTCCATTGGTATTGACATTCAAGATAAGACATAACAACCAAACCCCATGAAATTTCAACGCCGTCGAGTCTAAGAATCTGATAGATCGATCTACACAAAGTCATTGGATTATTATTCGGATAAGCGACGAAAGACGAACCTCATAAGCTTCAGAGATCTGCTTAAATTTAGCCTCCGCTTCTTTCTTGTTATTTGGGTTCTTATCAGGATGCCATTTCATAGCGAGCTTCCTGTAAGCCTTCTTCAAATCATCATCTTTGGCATTCCGATCAACTTGTAAAACCTTGTAATAGTCGATTCCCATTGCCCCCCTTCACTTTCCCTCTCCAGAACCTCCTCCTCCTTTCTGGCGATGATGTTCTGCAAGAATCGAGGTGGGATTTCGCGCATTAGAAGCTCGGATTGTTCGATTGAGCAAAAACCTTTAGAAACTTCCAGAAATTATCTTTTGGGCAACCTTTCTGTCAAGTTCCAAAAAATAGGTCATTTTAGTTTCCATTCATGAAAATGGGCTAATTTTCAAAATGCTGGTTCTTTTAACCTCATTAAAAAGGTGAAAAGATATTTATACCCCTCTTTACCAACCAACTGGAAAGACATTTATGTCCCTACATTATTAGACAATGGTCTAAGTAACGATAGCATATTTTGTCATTTGTTAATGGTTAGCACAAAAGGATGTAGAGGAAATATTTTGTTATTGTTTACGTAGGAAGGGTGTGTAGGGAATATCCGGATTAGGGTTATTTAGTACGGTTTATAGAATGATAAATGACCTAAAATTTTAGCTACTGGAAATTTTTGGCATGATGTTTGCGTGATGGGTATTAAGGGAACTTTTTTTTGCATCAACAAAGTGTGAGTCTTGTTATTCCTAATAATGAATGCATGGGACTTTGGACATTAATGAGAGCACAAATATTAACATGAGGTCATATTCATCTGGATTTAAATTATAAAATCATTTAACTCAAGATGTCGTTCGCTGTTCAACCATTTTTTGGATAGGATCTTGTAGGTTCGACCAAAAATTAAGAGATTAAAAATTAACTGAAAATCATACAATCCGATCAATATTTATACTTTCTAATTATGAGACTATTTGAGAATTACGCAAACGGACGTTGAAATCGGAAGGAGAATCTGACCAAAAAAAAATATGACAAATTAAGCCAAGCTGATTTTTTTAGATTAAATTATATTCATTGGTCGAATTTAAGATTAAGAAATAACAAGACCAAATTTGTCTGTTAACCTCGTCTATTGGGCTTCAACCAAGCCCAAATCATGAGGATTCATTGGTGGACAAGTGGGTCTACCGTTTCCATTTTGTCAAAGCAAGGCCCATGTTACTCAGGCCCGGTCCAGACTAGACAAATTATTAATCCGCATAGAAGGCCCAAAGCCCAAAGTCCGTGGTGCAATCCTTATCCACCAAACTTGGCTTTATTTTCAAAGTTAAAAAAGTAGAGTTTTGAATTCAAATACAAATAAAGCTAAAAGTCAAAGAGTTTCTTCCCCTCCCTCATCAATGAAAAGCCAACACAAACTGTTACAAAAAGAAGAGCTGTCGTTGTTGTTCCTATGATTACGCCATGGATCCCTTAATTAATTTTCTTCAACTTTACTCAACCCTTCTTCCAAAACCCTAAACCCAAACCTTCCCCTTCCAATTCATCATACCGGTTCCCCTTTTTACCTAAAGTAGTTGAAATTCAATATCTTTCTTCGAGTATAGCTATTATTAATGTTTTTTTTTTAACAAGAATTTAAACTTCTAACCTCAACAAAAATGAATACATATTCATTGCTGTCACTATGATTGTGGTATAAAAGAATGACTAGTTACCCGTCTTCAAAATGGATCTAATTGCACTTCATGCTCCACGTTCTTTACATCTTTCTCGAGCCTTAGGTTAAATTTGTGACCGGAAAAAATGCATAAATTTTCTCCAAAGATAATGGGTTGATTGGGCAGTTTGAAAGAAGATAAAGGGCATTGTTGATAATTGATTCGGTGCCCAATTCAAACCCATCTCTTTTACTATCCATAAGAAAGCAAGAAAGTGTTTACACTACAAAATTTAACTACTAAAGGAAAAACAATGCCACCTTTTGACTGTGGAAGATTCTTTTTGTTTTTTATTTTTATTTTTTAGTTATATATATATATATATATTGCGTGATTAAGTTCGATAATTTTATTATTATTATTTGAAAGTTCGGTCGAGATGACGTAACTAGTTTAAACGTGTTTAAAAAGTTTATTAATTTAAAAAATGTTTTAAAAAATATTTAACTAATAAACGAGTTTATATGCATTAGGGTGTAATTGAATTCTAAATTTTTAATTAATTAATTAATTTTATATAAAAGTTAGTGTTTTTTTCTTTTTGGCAGAAAAATTAGGTAGGCCTGTAATGGTGGGCATTCAAGTGCACAGCACATGCAGCGTGCACTATATTTCCACTACCATTATGTTTCGCCTGCCCCACACCCTTCTTCTAATTCCCTCAATCCCCGCATAATTCATCGCCCCTAAATCCCATATATAAGTTCAACCATAGCAAACCATAGATTTTCGTACCTTTTTCTTCCTCTCTGCATTGCATCAGGATCACTTCCATGGCTATGGCCGCTTCAATTACGTTCAAGCATCTCCCCTTCATTTTTCTCATCCTCTCCTCTGTTCAAATCGAAGCCAGAGTCAATAAATTCTTCAGCAAATTTATCCACACTGATCGCGATGTTGTTCTTCCCGTAGCCTTTTCCCCGGCGCCGGTCTCTGTTCCGCCTGAGATATCTCCATCTCTGGCGCCAACGCCAGCTCCCGCACCGTTTTTCGACGAATCGCAGAATGCTTACGGTCTGTACGGCAGTGATGCAGACAACAGCGAAGGTAGCCGGACGATCACCGACGTGGAAGAGGAGATTCTCGCGGAGGACGGTGAGGACGAGGAGAGCCACAAATCTGGCTATCAGACGAATTTACACACTGACAATTTCGAAAGCCCTAAAAGATCTGAGAGCAATAACGACGGGAACAGTGGATATAGAAATTCCGAGTACGAGAGCAACAATGATCACAGAAATTCCGAGTACGAGAACAACAATGAACACAGAAATTCCGAGTACGAGAACAACAACGAATACAGAAATTCCGAGTACGAGAACAACAACGAACACAGAACTTCCGAGGACGAGAACAACAACGAACACAGAAATTCCGAGTACGAGAACAATAACGAACACAGAACTTCCGAGGACGAGAACAACAATGAACACAGAAATTCCGAGTACGAGAACAACAACGAACACAGAACTTCCGAGGACGAGAACAACAATGAACACAGAAATTCCGAGTACGAGAACAACAATGAACACAAAAATTCTGAGTACGAGAACAACAACGAACACAGAAATTCCGAGTACGAGAACAACAATGAGTACAGAAATTCCGAGTACGAGAACAACAATAATGAATACAGAAATACCGAATACAAGAGCGATTTCGAGAACAATGGCGTCAGAAATTACCAGTACCAGAGCAATGTCGAGGGCGATGGCTACAGAAAGAGGCGATACGAACCGACGGAGCAGCAAGGGATGAGCGACACCAGATTCATGGAGAACGGAAGGTACTATCACGAAATTAACTCAGGAATCGGAGAAGAAAACAAATCGTACGGAAGTAAGAAGTATCCGAACGAGTTCGATTCCATGGAGGAGTACGAGAAGAGTGAGGGATTTCTTCCTTGATGCACAGGGAGAATTTTAGGGTTTAACTTAAACTTGAACCCCTGAATTTATGGAGGTTTTTTTAAAATTATTGTGTGTGTGATTTTAGTGTTCATCTTTTGAGTTGTGATTGATGTTCTTGGTGTTTGAATGTTGTTTAACATATGAAAAAAGGTATAGCAATACTTGGATGGCTAGCTGGGCTCCAACCAGCTTGGATGATATTGGAAAATTTTTGTGGAAAAAAAAAGTGTTATTTTGGATTATGGACATGTAAAATTTAATTTCCTTAACGAAAAAAAAAAAAAGAAAAGTAGAAATTGAAATAAATGATATTTTAGAAAAAAAAAATCAAACAAATTTGAATTTCCAAGTTATAAAACAATCTTTAAATTTTTGTAAATTACTTAACCTCAATTAAATATCAATGATACGTATAATTATAAAATTTATTAAATCTAATATTAAAATTTTAATTTCGTATATTTTTTTAGTTGAATGCGTGTCAAAAAAAAAAGAGTGACTTAAGTAAGGTCTTGCATTTAAGATGAAGATGAGATTTGTTTGTCGTTGGTCCTTTGAATACTTTTCGGTTGGGGTTCACATCGAGGACGCTTTGTTATACAGTTGAAGGGCCGAATTTAGAGTGAGCGGTTGCTTCTTCGAAGAAAAAAACGAGTGACTTCAAAATTTGAATAATTGGAATATAAGTCAATTTGAAAATATAAAATTGAATTTAGATGGATTGTTACATATTTAATATATTTGATATATACCATAATAAAAACCTCCCCAAACTAAAACTCTCAGAATTTGCACGCCTTCTCTCGCTTTTAGTCTTCATTAGACGAGAACCATCGATGTTTTAATGGGCTGCCTCCAGTAAAGCCCATAAAACGAGTCCAATAAAAACGGGCCGCTCGACAGTTGTTGGACCGTATTATCTTGGGCTATTTTACCAATTTGGGCCTCTGAATATCCTCAAGAAGCCCATTTTCTGAAGATCGAATGTAAACCGACCCGACTCGGGAGCAGAGAAAACCCCCTCTAACACCCCAATTTTAGTTTCTTGCTCAGGAGGAAAAGGAAAAAGCAACTCCCTTCGTTTATATTCTTCTGCAGGCGATCCAATCCCAGGTTATTCGGGACAATTTCTTCCATTTCCAATCCTGTTACTGATTTTGTTCACTCCCTTTGTTCGCATTCTTCATTTTCCTCCTGCTCGATCTTCCCCTTTCATTCGAGGGCTTTGATTCTTTTAGTCTTCTTCTCTGCACAATGGCGCGTGACCCAAATGGCTCTGCTGGAGGCGGTGCCAGTAACAGCTCCCAGCGCGAGGAGGCCACTTTGAAAGTCCCATCGAAGGACCCCAAGAAGAAGGACGATAAGAAGGAGGAGGATCTGGTATGGTTCATTCAATTCTTTGTTACTTAAGGGCTTGGTTTCTGTCTGATTTCCAAGAAATCAGAAGAATCACCCAAATTGAAACTGGATGGATGGTGGCTTTGGTGTAAACTTTTTTTTAGTGTACTCTGAAAATTTTCTACTGAGCTTTGCTTAAGTCGTTTCTTTACTTATAAGAGGTTATTCGCAGTATGAGTTGAAGCGAGGGAATATTTAGATTAGTTCATGTGCGATTTTAGTTTTCCCTCTTATGTTTCCTGTAGTACGTTGCGTATTGATCTGACATGGGTTATTGCGTGCACAGTCGGAAGAGGATCTGGCTTTGAAGCAACAGTTGGAGCTGTACGTGGAGAGAGTTCAGGACCCCGATCCTGGGTTGCAGAAAGTTGCACTTGAGAGTATGAGGTTCGCATTCTTATTTATAGTTCAGTTAAAACAGAAACCGTTACTTTAAAGGTATCTTACCCTGCTTGTGGATGTTTGCAATTATGATATAGATTGATATACCGGATTGGATAGGTTTATGAATCGTGCATATTTTCTTCAAGGCCTTCATATTTTGAACTTATTTGAGAACTTACAATTCCAGGCAGGAAATTCGAACCTCCACAAGCTCCATGACTTCTGTTCCAAAGCCTCTAAAATTCCTTCGCCCACATTATGGAACTTTGAAAGCTTATTATGAAACAATGGCAGACTCGGATTTAAAGGTGGTTTACTCTCAGTATTGTAATCCACTATTGATTTGGTTTTTCTATAAGAAAAATGTAACTCTACTTGCTTCTCTATTGCAGAAATACATGGCGGACATACTATCAGTATTAGCACTGACAATGTCTGCAGAGGGAGAACGGGTTTGTCTGCTTTCCTTAATATTGATCGCCATATGTTCCTTTTGTTTCTTTGTTTTAATATCATGTGCATGGAGCATTTTCTCTGTTTTTGATGTCTCTGTGTCTTACAGTCTCGTGTTTATGCCATATTCTAGCTCTATTACGTGGGCTTATGCAGTCACACTTAAATATAAATAATTTCTTGTCGAACTTTCTCAGGAAAGCCTTAAATACAGATTATTAGGTTCAGAAGGTGATATTGGTTCATGGGGCCATGAGTATGTAAGGTGAGCGCATGATTAGTACAACATTCTTGTGCGACTTATTACATGGTTCTTTGTCAGAAGGTATTATCTGTATTATACTCATTATTTTCTAAAATATATTGTAACCTCAGGAACTTGGCTGGAGAGATTGCTCAGGAATACACCAAGCGGCAGGTAGTGGAATATGCAGTAACTTTTTTTTTTCCTGACCTAATTAATAGATTATAACATAAATATGCTTGTTTTTATGCTGATCATATATTTAATTTTATTGTACTAATTAGGAAGTGTACTTACTGTTGCTTTCTTTACTTTCTTTGTTTCAGGGTGAAGAGGCTCCCATTGATGATCTGATGGAACTTGTTCAAGAAATTGTTGCTTTTCACATGAAAGTATGTCTGCATAACAAGTCAACGGATCAACTTTGTTTGAACCTTCTTTGGACACTAAGCCATAGTTTTCTGTAGATAAATGCAATACTGTTAGCAATTGGCATCTCTAATTATTTTTATTGATCTCCAGCACAATGCCGAACCTGAAGCTGTTGATCTCTTAATGGAGGTGAGATACTAATTTTTTTTTTTTTTTTTTTTTTGTGGGATGGGGAAAAGGGTATGGCTGACTGAATTATTCATGTGACTTGTACCAGGTTGAAGATCTTGATCTGTTAGTAGAGCATGTTGACAATACAAATTTCAAAAGGACCTGTATCTATCTTACTAGTTCAGCGAAGTATGTCAGCTCATCTTCTTGAGTTCTTGTAGTACATATAATTGCACTTCCTTCATTTTTACTACTTGTCTAGGAATTATTGTCTGATATGAACGGTTATGATTTCAAGCTTGTTTGGGCTCTCTGTCTAAATTTCTTCGTGATTGATGCCCTTTCTTAATTAATTTCAATTCAAAGTTTTAGCTGAACTATTATTTTTTCTGAAGAATATGATGGGCATCTGTCATGTTTATGGATTTGAAGCAACTGCGTCATGTTTGTTTTACTATTCTTTTAAAGAAAATGGCTTACTTTATTACTTTTTGAATGCTGTGGTATTATATTATGATGATAATTAAATATGCTACCTACAGTGAGAGACTTTTCAATTTTAAATAGGTGTTTGGCTAATCCAGGTGTTGTGGTGGGGCTTTTTTTGGGTTTTGGCTTGAGACTAAAAGTAAAATTTGTGGAAGGGTTCAGAAGTCTTGGGTATAGGCTTAATTTGTGTTAGTTTAATGCCTTTTGGTGTTGGCCTCAAAGGTTTAATTATCCAATATGCTCAATTTTAGATGGGAGCTCATTTATGCATAGTTAGCTCGGGTTATTTTTTTAACCTTTTTTGTTGGGCTTGTATGCTTTTCTGTGTTCTTTTATATTTTCTCGATGAGACTTGATTTTCCATCAAGAAGTCATAATATATGATTATTATTTATTCACAAACTTATAACCTCTAATAGTGTTAGATTTCCTTTTCCATTTTTTGAATCCTTCTCCTTGATTATGGTTTTTAACAACGCCAACATCACAGATATCTTCCTGGACCTGATGACATGCTAGCTTTGGACATTGCATACATGATATATCTAAAATTTGAAGAGTATACCAATGCACTTCAGATTGCATTGTTCCTTGATAACTTGCAGGTTTTCCCTCTATTTTAACCTAAAATTTTTGCCCATTAATATGAGTTCGGGACTTGAGTATTATTATGTTATATCATCGGGAGTATAAAGTATCATCCTCGTTTCTTGGTGAAAGATGAGGAATTTTAAGCAGTTTTTTTCCCTTGTGTTACATACCTAGTATATTTGAACTACTTAACCATCGAACTATGTTGAAAACCTCTTTAAATTTCATTTTGTTTCAGTATGTCAGACAGATCTATCAAGCCTGTGATGATATGCAGCGGAAAAAGCAGTTTTCGTACATACTCGCTCGACAGGTATGTTCTGATAATCTATATATTAATTGTTATGCTATTTAGTGTCGGTTTATTGGATCTATTTTCTGATGCATTGATGTTAGGCATTTTGTGTGCACTTTATTTTGTATAAATGCTTAGAATCTGAATCTCAAAATTGTGTAGTACTTTTGCCATATTGCCCCTTGATTCCTTTGGGCTTCAAGAGATGATTGGGTGGGGTACCAGTTTGTATAATACATTATGGTGCATGTATATCACTAATTACTATTATCGGTTGGTTATTGGATTATTTTGGGAGAGAGAATTTATGATTTATGAATGATTGACATGACTAGTTCGTCAGTGACCGACTATTATCTTATCATTTTGTACCATTAAAAATACTTTTTTCTTCAATTAACTTCTTTTTTTCTTTTATACAGGGTACTAGTTTTGAGCTTGATGACGACATGTGTCCAGATGACGACGAGAGAGAGGCAATGCAGGAAATCATCAATAATGCCAAAATAAGTGAAGGTTATCTCACCCTTGCTCGTGACATTGAGGTCATGGAGCCTAAATCTCCAGAAGACATCTATAAGGTTATCTCACCCTTGCTCGTGACTGTTATATCCACATTCTCATTATACTGATTTCCGTCCTTGAAATATTTCAGGCACATTTGCTTGATGGGAGGGCTAGTGCTGGTGCAAGTGTTGATTCGGCTAGACAAAACTTGGCTGCTACCTTCGTTAATGCTTTTGTGAATGCTGGCTTTGGTCAGGTAAGAGATGTTCAATCAATGTGCAGAAGAAGTGGCATGTTACTTCGGGCTTCTTATTATTTGTTATTGTCATTCCAGGATAAGTTAATGACAGTTACGCCAGATTCATCCAGTGGCGCTTCTTCAGGAAACTGGTTATTTAAGAATAAAGAACATGGGAAGATGAGTGCTGCAGCAAGTTTGGTAAGTTTACACCATTTCTGTCTTTCCATTTTGTTTAGCATCTGGTTTTGTCTTATCATTTATCATCATGATCACAGGGTATGATTTTGCTTTGGGATGTGGATGCTGGACTTTCTCAAATTGACAAATTTTTGCACAGCAATGATAACCATGTTGTTGCTGGAGCATTGTTGGGAGTTGGTATTGTCAATTGTGCTATCAAGAATGATTGTGATCCTGTGAGTCCTTTTTCTTTATTGTGCAGAACGTTGTAATCCATTTCAATTTTCTGAACTGTCTTCCCTCTTTTCAGGCATTAGCACTTTTAATAGAATACGTTGACAAAGAAGATGCATCCACACGTATAGGTGCAATAATGGGGTTGGGCATTACGTATGCAGGAACTCAAAATGAGCAGGTTACCACCCATCTTTCCTTTTTCTGTTTGTAGGCTTAGTGGATGTCAGAACAATGAATTAGCTTTTGAAAATCTCCCTCTTTTTCCCTGCAAGTGATGCTTTGGGTTTCTATAATGTTTGCTTTTGTACTTCTAATTATACAACTTTTCTGGGTCATTTTGACAATTTTCAATTAATTTAGTTCAAAAATTAAATTTTATTAATATTAACATTTTTTTTATGTATAGCATATTTAACATATCTATGGGTTTGACAAATCCCAAAATCAGGTTTTTCCTCTGGGTTTTATGCTTTTCGTTTCTTCCCCATTGGGAGAATGTACGTTGGAGCTTTTTTCTTCATTTTCATGTATCGATGAAATCTCTCTCTCTCTCTCTCTCTCTCTCTCTATATATATATATATACACACACACACACATACATACATACATATATGTATATATACACATATATATGGTGTAACTACAAGTTTGTGGTATAAGATATTGTAATGTATGTTTTCACAGGTCAATGATTTTTTTCCCATTCCTTATTGATACTCTTGCATTTTGTATCCTTTCAGCTGCGGCTAAAACTGACCCCTATATTAAATGATTCAAGAGCTTCACTTGATGTGATTGCATTCTCTTCACTCTCATTGGGTTTGATATTTCTTGGCTCCTGCAATGAGGAGGTGGCCCAAGCAATTATATTTGCATTAATGGATCGAAGTGAGTCTGAATTGGGAGATGCTCTAGGTCGCCTTCTACCACTTAGCCTTGGTCTTCTATACCTTGGAAAGCAGGTGCGACTGCAGTCTGCTGTGAATACATTGTCTATCGTAATTATGATTATTTTCCTGTGTTTTAAGATTTGACCTCCAACTGATGCTTTAGGCATCATGCATTTTGAGGAAGTTAAGGCTTTTCCTTTATAACTTCCTTCTCTTGGTTCTAACAGGAAAGTGTAGAGGCCACAGCTGAGGTTTCCAAGACATTTAACGAGAAAATCAGAAAATACTGCGACATGACATTGCTCTCCTGTGCATATGCTGGAACTGGGAATGTACTTAAGGTATGCAGTGTAGTTTATCAATGTATAAACATAATGCACCAACTTAGCTGTCTATCTCTCCCCCATTTAGGTTCAAAACCTTCTTGGTCATTGTTCTCAACATCTTGAGAAGGGTGAAACTCACCAAGGAGCTGCTGTTCTTGGAATTGCAATGGTGGCAATGGCTGAAGAACTGGGTTTGGAGATGGCAATTCGTTCATTAGAGCATCTTTTGCAGTATGGGGAGCAAAATATTCGTCGTGCTGTTCCCTTGGCTCTTGGTCTCCTTTGCATTTCAAACCCCAAGGTCAGTATGATGTGTTTTTTGATGAAGACCTGTTATGTTCTGATCTATTCTATAATTTTCGAACTTTCCAGCCAAATAAGTAGAGGGGAAAAAGATAGTAATTGTAAGGGTCAAGAGCTCTATCATTTCATGAAACAGTTCACAATAAGGTAATAAGGTTTAAAGCATGCTGCAAATGCTCCTATACAAAGAAGTGTACACCAAACACTCCAACATCCTAGTGTAGGGAAGTATGCTACGTATTCCTACTAATAAATATGCTATATTGAGCTAAGCGAAGACTTCTTAGCGAGTTGGTTCTTATAAGGATCCCGTATTGAGCGAAGCAAAGGTTTCTTAGTGAGTTGGTTTTGAGTGTGGACGATTTTTCACCCCAAATTTAATTGTATGACTGGATAATTTGACCAGGTTAATGTTATGGACACGTTAAGCAGACTCAGCCATGATACAGATTCTGAAGTAGCAATGGTGAGATTTGAGTTTTTGGTTCATTTTAGTTTCTTCATTGCTTTTGTAGAAATTCAATGTTAAAATTCTTAAATGGATGTTACAGGCAGCAGTGATCTCCTTAGGCTTGATTGGTGCTGGAACCAATAATGCAAGAATAGCTGGCATGCTTCGGAATCTTTCGAGTTATTACTACAAAGATGCGAGCCTTCTTTTTTGTGTAATGATGCCTATGAAATTTCCATTTTGGAGTTCCCTTTTTACTTAGTGCGAAGAATTAGTGTCTGATACCTTCATTTTGTAAATGTTTGCAGGTCAGGATTGCCCAAGGGCTTGTACATTTGGGGAAGGGCCTGTTAACTCTTAACCCCTATCATTCTGACCGATTCTTATTAGCACCGTCAGTGACTGCTTTGGAGAAACCTAGTTCTATTAGTCTATCTTTTTGAAGTTTTATGTTTTATCATCTTGTTTCATAGTATGTACTCCTCATTGCAGGACCGCGCTTGCAGGATTAATAATCATGTTGCATGCATGTCTTGACATGAAAGCCATTATCCTGGGGAAATATCATTATGTGCTCTACTACCTTGTTTTGGCAATGCAGGTCCGTCTTGGTTGATTATCTCGTGTCATTCTGTTTACTGGTTTTCTATTTTTTCCCCCTTCTGACTTTCAAGTATGACAGCCGAGAATGCTGTTGACTGTGGATGAGAATCTCAAGCCTCTTTCGGTACCTGTTCGGGTGGGTCAGGCTGTTGATGTCGTTGGACAGGCTGGTCGTCCAAAGACGATCACTGGTTTTCAAACTCACTCAACCCCAGTTCTTCTTGCTGCTGGTGACAGGGCAGAGCTGGCCACTGAGAAGTACTAGAACTAGCCATATAGTTTGTGTAATTTTTTCCTGACTTCGATAAATCATAAGCTAACTTTAGCTGTCTTTGTTCAGGTACATCCCTCTTTCTCCAATCCTCGAAGGATTCGTCGTTTTACAGGAGAACCCAGAATACAGAGAAGAACAGTAGTAGCAAGCCATTGTAAGTAGGAACGGACAAAACACTGCTGCTTGATACGAGTTCTAACCAGGATGTTGGTGGACGTAAAAAGCATGATGCGGGATGTGGTTCGAGTTTAGTTACGCTCGTCGTAATGTCATCCAACCAGTGCATTTGTAGCTTTGAGATGAACAGCCATGAGTTCGAAAGAGGAAATGTGCCTGAATTGATTTAGTTAATATTTCATGGTTAATACTTAGTTCCCCTCGACTTGGGATCTTTTTGTATTGATTTTTAGAGAATAGAAACTCTCTCCATTTGCTTAGTTTAATTTGATGCAACGACAATATCGAGTCACCTTTCGTTGTTTTGGGTTCTTGAACGTTCCAGTGTCCCGTGGATTGTTTTGTTTATGATACAAATTCCTCGTAAGGTGGATGTTCAAAATCACTCTCGAGCATGTAATCCTTTAAATGCTAGTTTTATATAGTTCTTATATGGTAAGAACTAGTTAAAAATATATTTAAATGCTAGTTTCATATGGTAAGAACTAGTTAAAAATATATTTGAGAGATTTTGAATACGAGTTGATCACATAAAACATATAAAAAGATTTATAAATTTATAAATATTTAATTTTGGGTTATAATTTAAATATTTAATCAATATTTTTAAAAATAATTATACACAAAATTAGAAGTTTTGAATTAATTTTCTAGGCTTTTAAGTTATGAAGATGTTACATACAAAATTAAAATTTATAGTTTATTAAACAACTTTTAAAAATTTTAAATTAAAAGACATAATTAAGAAGGGAGAAGCTATAATTTAGCCAGGCGGCCAGGGGCAGAACCGTAATCCGCCACTTTAAGGTAATTTGAAACTTTGATTTTAAAATAATTTATTTGGGCAAACACTTGTAGAATTGGCCCATCAGCGCGGGGTTTACCTTCTTCTTCAACCTCGGTGCTGCATCGCTCACTCTCCTTCGGTGCTGCATCGCTCACTCTCCTTACGGTTTTTTTTCCTCAACAATGAAGGTCAACGTAATATCCCGCTACACTGATGAATTCACTCGAGAACGAAGCCAAGACCTTCAGGTGATTAACCTGTGCATACTGTGTATCTCCTTTTCTATTTTTTTCTGTTGAATTTCTCTCTTGCTACAAAAATTGACGTTGTATCTCTACCATTAGAGGGTATTTCGGAACTTCGATCCCAGTCTCCGTACGCAAGAGAAGGCGGTTGAGTATGTACGTGCACTTAATGCCGCGAAGATGGACAGGGTAATGTTATGATTTGAAACTATTGTTTCAGTTGCTGGATCGTTTAAACTTTCGATAAATGAGTAAACACTCTCATGCTTCCTATGTTTTAGATGTTTGCAAAACCATTCATTGGAGCAATGGATGGGCATTTAGACGCCGTTTCATGTATGACAAAGAATCCTAATCACTTGAAAGGGATATTTTCTGGTTCGATGGATGGAGGTAAATTATTCAATACTTCAGCTGCTAGGTTAATGTTTTTAGTTTTTTCTTCTTTTTATTTCTTCCTCTGATTGTTGGTAGAAAGTTTTCGGAAAATTTCATGTGTTTAATTCTTGTGGTGCCTTGGAAACCATCTATAATTGTACTTAATTGTTAAAGGATATTTAGTAATAAATTATAGTTTACCATATATATTATATTTGATATTTTTTTTAGGTGTGGTGGATTAATCAAACATTCACATGGTATCAGAGCCATTTTGGTTTAGCAACCTACATTCTTTCCTTTTAATGGCTTTTGAAATCTTCTACTATTCTTCTCCACCATCACTGTTGTCTTTGATGCCGTAGGGACAGTCGTCACATGTAGAGCCGATTGATTATTCTTCGGCTCCACCCTTTTGACCTCCAAATCATCCTTCGCCATACTCTGTACATACAACCTCACCTTTTCCAAACATAGCCTCTTTCATTTTCTTCCCAATTTTCCCTTCATCCTTCATCCTTCACAAAAACCCTAATCTTATGATTTTCATCAGCATTCCTCTTCGAAAATATACAGAATCTCAATAAGCCCATCGACCTTCTGCAGAGATTTACCTTTGGAATCTGGGCGCCGCACTGGCATCTTCGCCAACCAAGTTGCCGCCGCCCTTCTCGCCAAAATTGGCTCCTTGGCCCCAATGTGGCGACTCTTCCAGCTGCCCTTCTCGCCAAAATTGGCTCATTCGCCCAATGTGGTGACTCTTCCGGCTTCAACATTGTCTTTGTCCCTTGCTCTAGGTTTCCCCTTCTACTTCTTGGGGTTAGACATATTCTCACTAGAGCCAAGGCAGCATCGTCGCTAAGCGACAATCCCTCTTCATGGGTTAGACATATTCTCACCGAAGCCAAGGCAGCATCGCCGCTGAGCGGCGATCCCTCTGCAGTTTTCGATGGCCAAGAAAGTGTTTCTCTACGCCTCCTCTGAACCAGGTTGTTAACATTTTCACGAAAAGTGTTTCTCAACCTCTTTGAATTTTTCAAATTCAAGCTTCACGTTAGTTTAAATCCGACGCTTAGCTTGCGGTGGGGTGTTAAGGATATTTAGTAATAAATTATAGTTTACCATATATATTATATTTGATATTTTATTATAAGGCAAATATAGATATTTGCCTTATTACTATAGGTATCTTTCCATTTATTGTTATTTCCATTTATTACTATTTTCATATCCTTGTAATTTATTTGATTATAAATAAGATAACTTTCACACCATTTAGGTGTGGTGGATTAATCAAACATTCACACTTATACTATAAGCTAGTATAAGCTTGTTACTTTCTAGTTCCAGCACTGACGTCCTATTGAGATGCAATAGTCGGGGCAGTCAACTGTCTAAATATCCATCCTTTTTTTCCCCATTTTAATCTTATGTAATCTCCATCAGTAAATGGTAGTGCAATATTCTTGTTGCATTCAAACAATGATATTAATTTTTCATGCATATCGACTTTTTTTTGCCTTCTAAAAAATTGATTTTATGTCAACAGATATTCGCCTCTGGGATATCGCTAACAGGTAATATGATGTCTTCCAACCTTTTGATCTATGCAGTATTGTTCTATAGCGACCAAATTTCTTTTGACAGAAATTAAGCTGTAATTAAAAATCCTGAAATAAATGCTAACCTTCATACATTGTAGGCGAACTGTTTGTCAGTTTCCTGGACATCAAGGTGCTGTTCGAGGCTTGACTGCATCAGCTGATGGACGCATCCTGGTATCATGTGGGACAGATTGCACGTAAGACACCATTTTATAGATGTATTATTCTATGTTATTTAGAATGTTAGACCGTTATATTTTTCTACTTGGGACCAAACCTTCTTTTTTGTGTTTTTCAGTGTCAGGTTATGGAATGTCCCAATTCCCACTCTGAATTCATATGAGACTTCGAATAATTCATCTGAGGTTTGTCCTTGAATTACCTGTGTGTTGTAATGCGTGAATTATTTATATTATTTCCTACTAACATTTTGAATCCCATACATTCAAGCCTCTAGCAGTTTATGTCTGGAAGAATGCTTTCTGGTAAGCTACTAATTTAGACATTGGTTTAGCCCTTATTCTGCTCCTTCTTTTGAAGTTGGATTTTGAGCCCATAGTTTCTGATTTATAGGGCTGTTGATCATCAGTGGGATGGAAATCTTTTTGCTACAGCTGGTGCGCAATTAGATATCTGGGATCACAAAAGGTATTCATCACCATTCACTTCATTCAGTACTTTCATTTTTTCTCGTTATATATTGAAGATATTTCTGAATTCTTGTTTATAGGTCTCAACCGGTGAGTAGTTTTGAGTGGGGAACAGACTCAGTTATCTCTGTCCGTTTTAATCCTGGAGAACCCAATATCCTGGCAACATCAGCTAGGTAAGCATGATCAGTCGTGGTCAAACCACCACTGATTCATTTGCTTGCATACAAATTCCAGTTTACTCTATAGTCTATGCATGCCAATTCGAGTATAGCTTGATGGACAAGACACCAATTATCATCTCAAAGGTGGATGGCTTGATTTTCGAACTTCACAATTTTTTTAACTAAAAATAATAATGGTCTATGCATGTTCAGCACTTGATTAGTTTGAACTAAAAGTGGTTTTCGAACTTCGCAATTTTTTTTTTTTTTTGCATTCTTGATTAAACTGGAACGTCAAATTTACCATAAACAAAATTTCAGCTAATTGCACAACTAATTGCACTTTTCTGAAATTCATGGACCAGTATAATTTTCTATATTGCTAATCAGTTCAGTTTCAGCAATTTTTCAACTTCTTATGGTGGGAGCATTTTCAACCCTATACGCTGTTCTTTTTCTTGCCTTGTAGTGATCGAAGCATTGCATTGTATGATTTGCGCATGTCATCCCCAGCTAGGAAAATAATTATGAGGGTATGATGGTTGCATTTAGTCAAAAGAGTTCCTTACTTGTAATCTTTTAATTTGTTTCATGTATTCTTATGGGCATCTTTCTTGTGACAGACAAAGACAAATTCTATTTGTTGGAATCCAAGGGAGCCAATGAACTTCACTGCTGTAAGCACACGAATGGAATTTTGAGATTTCTTATTCCTTGAAGTTTTCTTAGCTTTGTGGCTCATATTGCTTTCATCATAACGCAGTCAATATGATAATCAAATATATTTTTGTTCTAGCTTTTTTTATGTTCTCTTTATTCTTTTAACAATCTAGTATTTACACAATTGTTCTTTGTGCTTTCCAGGCAAATGAAGACGGCAACTGTTATAGCTACGATTCTAGGAAACTAGACAAAGCAAAATGTGTGCATAGAGATCATGTATCTGCAGTGTATGATACAAACTTGTGATTTTGGTTTATAATAATTAAATAGTGCCACTCCTTATCTTCAATCTTCGTTAAAACTCATGTGAAGATTCCTTTTTGTTTTCAGAATGGATATTGATTTTTCACCAAGTGGTCGAGAATTTGTTACTGGCTCATATGATAGAACAGTGAGTTCAACCCCGGGTTATGTTCAACGTTTCATAACTTGTTTTTTGAGATATGTTTGAACTTACCATGCAATTAATTTTGTAGATAAGAATTTTTCCGTATAATGGGGGTCACAGCCGTGAGATTTATCATACCAAAAGAATGCAAAGGTTTGCTCTTTCATTCTAGTTCTAGCTTTCGATCCATGTTCGTTATTTGTTTTTGTAGGCTTATCATTTGATCAAAGCCTTCCAATGTACTATTAGTTTCAACACATATCAAGTGATCTTTTCTTTTGTTTTTTTTAGGGTTTTCTGCGTCAGGTTCAGCTGTGATGCAAGTTATGTGATATCAGGGAGTGATGACACCAACCTTCGGCTTTGGAAGGCTAAAGCATCTGAACAATTAGGAGTTGTAAGAATCCTCTCTCTCTGTATCAAAAGATGATTCTTTTCTATTTTGGGAACTCTTTCATCAACTTTATTCTGTACAAGCTTGCATGAAGATTACATGGTCTAATTAGGTGGATAATGATGCTAGTCTAAAGTGATAGTATTTAATAGTTCCCGATGGTGTTGTAATGGTTAACATTTGTAATAACAGTTGATTGCAGCCCTCATTTGTATTAACAGTTGACAGGCGCTTTGATTTACTTCTAAACTAATGTTTGCTGCAGCTTCTTCCGAGGGAGAAAAGAAAGCATGAATATCAAGAGGCTGTTAAGAATCGTTATAAACACCTTCCTGAGGTTAAGCGTATTGTGAGGTAAGACTCATGTCCAACATTCATGCTCTGTTAATGTTCGGCCCCTATCTTCATCAATATTTCCACGACGCCAAGTCCATATATATGCATACGATACACGCGCACGCTCACACACAGGATACAGTCTGGGAAGGGAATTTTAAATTTGATCGCTGTTTGTTACTGCAGGCATAGGCATTTACCAAAACCGATATTCAAAGCTGCTGCTCTCCGGCGCACTATTATGGATGCCGAGAGAAGGAAGGAAGAGAGGAGGAAAGCTCACAGCGCTCGTGGGAGCATCTCGACTGTACCACTCAGCAGAAGAAGAATCATCAAAGAAGTTGAGTAAACTAACGTTGAACCAGGAAAAGAGGGTATGTTGCTGGTTGCTTACACTTTCAATAGCTCCTGAGATTTTTCCAAGACCCCATCTCATAACTTCGATCGACAGTAGAGTTGGGTGAGAGAAGGAACCAAAATTTTGTCGTGGTGTTGTACAAATTCTTGATTGTCGAGATTTTTCAGCTTGTTTAAACATTCTAGCTTCATGAATCTGTTGAGGCTTGATATATTTTAGTTATATTCATCTTTTCATATTGTTTCTGTAATACCCAATATGAAAATTATTGTTGAGTTATGTTCGTTTTAGGCACATTTTTCTCTAACTTCGTTACTAACTTATCTAAAAATTTTAAGATTATTTCATAAATTTTTTGGACTTTTCATTTGGGTTCGTCATTTATTGGACAATATTTAAAATTTTTACGAGCTTATTTAATTAATAATTTGATTGTAAAAAAATATAAATAAGAAGAAAAGAAGAAGAAGAATAAATGAAGGAAGAATAAATGAAGGAAGAACAAAGGACAACAGAAGGGTAAAAAAGGAAAAGTATAAAAGGAAAAAAGAAAATTCCCCCTCGTTTTCTCGAGCAACGGAAGCAGGGTTTAGCATTTGAATGCCCTAAATCTGAGACGGAACTCTGTTTATCGTGGCTGACTGCACATAATTTTTCGCCGCGCTCTCAGATTTAACGATGGCTTCCTTTGCCGCCAGGGCCATTTCCCGATCCTCCTTCGGCAAGGCTGCGACTCTTCTGAGCGTCGGATCCAGAGCAGCTCCGGCTCGTTCATCATTCCGCATTGCTGCTAAACGACCTTTCTCTCAGTGTGCTGTAAGGTAAATTCCTGACAAGCATTCGATTTCGACGAAGCGTGCTCGATGTAAATTAATTATGAAAACTGTGTGAGTTAAGTTATGTATGATGCGTAGACAAATATGCTGAGTTGTTCCATATGTGATGTTTTTCTTTTTCTCTTTTTCTATTTAGGCTTCCAGTTGAAATGAGCTGCTGTGTGGAGTCCATGCTTCCCTTCCATTCTGCTACTTCTTCGGCATTAATGACTTCGATGCTTTCTGTCTCTCGCCATAGTTATGGTTGGCTTTCAGAAGGTACTTTCTGTCTCTTCTAATTCTTCTAGTAGTTTCAATGGATGCGACTAAGTTATGAGCCAAGAGTTGTTGCCTCCGTGTTCTGCATCTATACTAGAATGAATTTTACTTTTTCCAATGTTTTCGTTATACTGCCACTATTAAGGTTTCTGATTTCTGTTGGCCTAAAAACTGAATAGCTGTGTTGGTCGAATACGACCTCAGCTTCATTGGTTACTTGGATTGCCTTTGTGATGTACAACCGATGGGGGATAACATGTGTACACAATTATCCTATATATTTGGCCCTTAGAATACAGGATGAAAAGGTGGAGGATGAAATAGTGACTGAACGGTCTGTTTTTTCTCGTTTTCTTTGACAAGAAGACAGAAATTTTCATTGATATGATATTTGATGAAAAGTTGCAAGAAACCAAACTCTATATAACAAGCCTAACAGGGAGGGTAATTACAAGGGAAGAACAAAGAGGTTAGGATTTATAATTCGTTCCATCACGATTTGAACTGTTTGAAATAAGAAATAGACAACAATTCTCCAAATAGTCTCAAACTAGTTCGAACCAATACCAGTGTTTTGCGTCAAATATATTTCCCTACTGCCTTTATAATCTTAAATGCTCTTTCAGCTTGGTAGAGCAAATGTCTTATCTGGCCCCTTCTTTCTCACTACTTTTTTTCGGATCAATGAATTGAGAATTCAGTCCTTCGTCCTAAGATAGAGATTAAATGCTGCATTCTGGATTAGGGTCTTCTAACTTCTTCAAAGCTAAAAAATACAGTTCGTTGTTTGTAACGAATCATTTCCCTCCTGCTGTGACGTATGATTTAGCTGTTTATATGTGATGCTTGTATGTTACTCAATCACAACGATTTCATCCACGTCCTTGATATTAAATGTGAGGATACTAATTATAACGTTTAACCAGTGTTCAATGATGATGTGTGATGATGAATTGTCAAAGAGGCAGAAAGTCTTGTTTGCAGAGTTCTACATTGTGACAGTGCCCGCTGCTAAAATACTCGTGCTGATCTGCAGGAATTTGGTTTTCCATGGCTCGAATCTCTGTCTAGCAAGCATGTCTTAGATTCTAAATTTGTGCAACTACGGATTACTAGAATGTATAGGAAGAGATACACATTAGACAGGAAGGCTTCAATAAATTGTCTCGTTATGTTTTAACTCCTTAAAAGGATTGTCTTGCAATTATGAAATAGAAAATCTTACCAAGATGAGAGGAAGGATTCTTCGGCTAGCAGTCTTTATATATCTTGTATATTACTCTATCATGGATGCTTATCAAACTTCATGACCTCTATTAATAGATGTATCGCACAATGTTAACGCCATTTAATATCTATTTGGCAGTGACTGGCTTGCAAACTTCATGATAGACGTTGATTGGAAAAGGTTTCACCTTCTTGGGCAACATGGTCACCCAAGTAAATCTTCGATTGCAACCAGGGTTTGTGTTTGGCAAGCAATCTCATCTTTTAAATTTAGTTTCCTCAGCTTAATCTTGATATTCAACTGAAAGACCCAAATAACAGCCTTTTTCTTATGATATATTTTATTTAGGTTCAGATATGATTTTGGTCTTTGTATCTTTCGTTTCATTAGAAACTAATTCCAAGAACTATGTGCAATTTACCCATTATGATGAGTCGAGCAAATCTGCTAGAGCACATTGATATAGTACCCATGAATGCAAAGGTTATAATGTACGTTTGAGTAAGCCTTTTGGATAGCACAATAGTTAGACAAATGAGGCAACAAAACAAAGATACATCGAGAAAACTTTCTATTTACTTTTCCTACTAATAAGACCAGAAAGTAACAATTGCAGTTCTCTTTTCAGATCTTTATCACATTAGGATCCAAATTAAGCATGTAGAACTTAGTAGGCACACAGCAATAATCAACTTATATTACCCTTGCCAAGATTTGTGTTGCCATATAAAACGGATACCAGTTAAATAGCAGTACGGTCACCACACAATAGAAAGTAAATCCATGATAATTGACATTTAACACTGCATTGTTGGAACTCATTCTTCAACATTAACCAATTCATATTCAACCAGTGACAGATTGTTGTCCTCTTTAACCTCAAAGTTGCCTGGTTCAGCGACTTCAATTCGACCCCACTTATCTACTGCTAACCTCATAGAACCTTTAAACATGTCGATCTTTGCATTCCGCAGGGTCACAGTGTTTCCTGGCTTCATGATATCAACTGCAAAAATTACAACCATTTGTTTAGATAACATAACTTAATACCAAGCAAAAATTTAAGAGGGTACGCTCACGATAATATACATGACACACAATATGACAGTTATGTAACATCTGATTCCTTTACTCCTTTACACCAAACCCACATAAGGATTTCAATAGGTTCTTAATACCAATCGCTAGGTTCAAGGCAATATATAAACAAACGGCTATGCAGTTAGATTGACAACAGATTTCAAATGAAGAGTAACATTTACGGCTACACCCATGCACACCTTAATCCGCCATCTCAAAGCTTCTGGTTTAAAGGAGATGAACATAATAGAAGCTCTACTCTGACCAGTAACATCCCTCATAACACTTTCGAGAATGACTTGATCAAGAAATATAAAGAAGAAACTCACAGACCAAAAAACTCAAACACTAACTGTCCTTAAGGATCCTTCAAGAGCTAGAACTAAAGGCATCCTTTCAAATCTGCACATTTATGTTGAACAATAATGACACAAGCCTCGGAAAGAGTCTATTTGGAATGACTTTTTAAGTTCTTAGAATTGTATTTTAATGGTAAAACAAAGGTACTTTTAAGCATTTATGCCCAGAAAGCTTCTCTATTTCAGGCCTTGGTAACCTTATACAATACCCATAAAAGAGAGTTTTTTTGTAGCCTATATTGTAATTCCTCAATTATCAAACATGAAATCCACTAACAAAAAAGATGACCACTCACTGTTCCAAAAGAATTCTCAATCTCAGCAAAACATTCCAACAGAAACGAAGAAACCTTATCCCAATTTTTAAAGAACATCCAAGGAAATGGAAACTAATATCCATTCATCATATCCAAATTTGTTCGTAACCATACACAAAATCATCCCAGAAAACACATTGGAAAATCCCAAAGATGAGAAAAATTAGGTATTATAAGGCTGGAGAAACGTACCTTGGTCGTTTCGAGCTGTGAAGACGATGCAACCAGTCTCATCACCAACAAGACATTCAGAGATTCGAGTTAATTGCTGAGGGCGAGCCGCAATCACAGTGGATCGTCCACCTTTATTGACAGCCTTCACATTTTTGGAGCTCACCACCTTGACCGTGAGAGTGTGGCCGCTGGTACCAGGCTTTAGCTCTTCTACTTTTATAAACACAGGCTTCCTCTTTGGTGGAGCATTCACTGTTGCCGTCGCCATGGAAATCCAAGTATCGGAACGAAAATATGTTGCCGATGAGAGTGCAACGCGAAAATGGAGAACGAAATCGAACCCCCTGCGGGTTAAAACCTTAACCCTAAGAATTAAATTTCGCGCTGCTCTCGCATTTGGGATTTTCAGATTGGGTTTCAAAATATGGGCTTAAATTTGTCACCGAATTGGGCTCAGTTATGGGCTTTGGGCTTTTAAGAAATAGAAATGCTGGTACATAAACCATAAAACTTGTCTCAATTTCGTATTGAATTTTAAATTTTGTATATATTTTTGATGATTCACAATGATTTTGCAGTTCTAGTTAAACCCCACATGGTGTGTAGCATCATAACTCATAAGTGTTGAAGTGTTTTTTTCCCCTTTTGGCAAATCTATTTTGATATTCATAATCATTTTAGATTTTGTAACCGTCTGTTTTACATAATTGATTAAGAAAAGAAGTATGAATAAAGCAAATGACGAGAACCATGAACAAAAATATGGCTAAGTGCTCTGAATGCTGGGCAATGGTTGGTGCGAAGCTATGGGGGGGACAATGTACAAGAGGAGGAATAGGACTAAACGTCTTTGCCATGTTTGGGGAAATATGCACAAGAAAGTTAGGATTGCAGCTGGGGGTATCATATTCAGTTGGACTTCAGGCTGATATGATTCTCAAATACATGCCTGATGAAGCTAGGCTTTTGAAAGCTTTACCGTGAGCTACCAGAGAACGCGTCTTAATGAGGGTACTGCTCGGGGTAGGCTGGTGATGATGAAGGTGGTGGTGAGGCTTATATACAGAGTTAAAGATGAAGACATTGATAAGATCTAGATGTTATTGGCCTGAAAGCATCATTAAAGAGAAGCCTACTCTTAACCACCAGCTGCCAAGATGTCCTCGTACCACACTTCTATAGATATCCATACAGTCATTGCTAAATGTACAAAATAGTTACGATATCTGCACAATTTGCTTCAATAGTGTTTATCAGTATGAACTAACAAAGGACTATAATAAGCCTTTTAATCCAGAGCAAATCATTGGCCTTGAAGCTGGGAAAGCTAGAACTGTTTATGACAGCTCTTATCCTTAATATACAAGGGGTTGGCTTAACATAAATAGCATCAAAGATGATAAACTAAAAGGTTTCAATTTCCAGAATTACACACCGACTCTGGATTCAACAGGAGAGGAACTTGGAGAACTGTTGATATATGCATCGTTACATTTGATTTCTCCTCTGCCCCCAGCTTGCCTTTGTCTGCTCCTTTTATCTCTTTCAGTCTCTGCTACCCAATCCCCATTGCTCACCTTAATGAATATTTATGCATTTCAAATGTCAGATGAGAAGAAACAAGAAAGATACAATGAAAGATACAATGAAAAACAGAGAATTATGGGCCTCGGAGTTGAAGATCATTGGTTTGGTCTTTGGTCTCTACGATTTACTATTCGACTCCGCGGTTGTATATGTTGAGGATTATTGGGAGGGAGTCCCACACTGACTAACTAAGGGGATGATCATGGGCTTATAAGTAAGGAGTACATCTCCATTGGTACGAGACCTTCTGGGGAAACCAAAAGCAAAGTCACGAGAGTTTATGCTCAAAGTGGACAATATCATACCATTCTGGAGAGTCGTGAGTTTTAGCCGTTTCGATCCTTAGAAGTTCGGCAAACATCCAATATGATTCTAGGCCTATTTCAAATGAACTTCTAAACAGTGATGAAATGTTCTTTAAGTGTACAAAAAGTGTTTAAAGTTTTGTTTTGTGAGTGAACAGTCCAAGTGCTTAAAAAAAACTATTTTTTAAGTGCAACAAAAGTGCATTTAAGCGTTTGAAAAGTCTGGATTTCTACTAGTCTCAATAAAATGCTTTGGATCCAGATGATGTACCTTCGTAAAATCTTCATTATTAAGCTGAAGGCTTGGTACAGTCTTGCTCCTTGAAACGTAACTTGAACCCTTTGATCTGCTCTTCAATGCATCAGCGGAGAAGTTAAAAGATCGTACAGATACCTCATTAGATCCGCAGCTTTCCTTTTCTTCTGCACCAATATCAAAGAGTCTTTGGCTTATCACCAATCTCGGATTGTTGTCAATCCCTTCCGATGGCTTCATTGTGTGAGTTTCGACCGAGGAGCCTTCAGGAAGGCGGGTGGCCATCCACCTTTCCAGCCAGCTCCAGCTCATGTTCGCTTCTATGGCATCGGATTTCGAGTGTTTTCTCTTCGAGCAGATTCGTAGCTTAAAACACAGGAGTAACCAGAATTATTACACCAACCAATCCAACTACTTTATTTTCTAAGAACTTATCATAATTGTACCTGTTGCGAGAAAGCGTAAGCCAGTGCTCGTTCACGTCGGGTTGATGCTTCTAGCCTGTTCTGAATCCTCATTTTTGTTACATTGCTACTCACTGTGCTATCATCCCATTCTTCCTACAAAATCCAGAGGGCGAAACGAGTTACAAAAGATCATTAATATTTTCAATAACTATGAAACTTTCAACGTTTCCCTAATTAGATCCAGATAACATTCAACGAGTTACGCAGAGAAAATGTCGTCTTCAACCTTCAGCTTATGTAATTGGGTTTTGGTTTTCTGTTGCATTCGGTTGGAAAGAACAATTCTTTCATCTTGAACAGAGAAAGCTTCAGAATTCCCAGTCTGAACTTCAATAGACGTGCTTAGAGACTCTCTGCTTGGACTTTCTATTCCCTCAGTGATCTCCTTCTTGCTATCACTATTCGTCCATTCGATCTCGGCATCCCGACGCCGAGCCTGCAATTCAAATTCATCAATTTACAAAGTTCATATCTATCCTCTTCGCTACAAAGCTCAAGAAGTTTGCACTTCCAGTTTAGTTTGCTAAATAAAAAATTTTGGGATCCAAATGTTTAACACGAAGAAAAAGTGTTAAAATGACCAGAAAGCTTCTAAATGCTGACTGGATGAGGAGTGCTGCTTGTTCTTGGCGCTTCAATTGGGAGCCTAAATCGAAAACCTCCATTGCAGGTTCTTGTTTCTGTGTTGAGATCTCAAGCTCCAAAACAGGCTGTGTGACAGTTGCTTCAGAGCTTCTAATGGATGCTGCATCTTCCTCCACAAGAACTGAATTGTACTCGTCTCCACATAGGTAAGATCTAACAGAGTGCCATTTTTTCCTTTCCACAGAATTGTTGTTCCGCGTCTGAGAAAATCGGATCAGAATTCAAAACGACAGCAATTCACCCAAAGAAAACAAACAATTGGGATACAAATGAAACGAAATATGAAATCAAGTTAAGAACAACGGAAAAGGGGAAGAACATTCAGCTTGGCATTTCAACAAACACCTGACGGAAATGAAAAAAAAAAGAATTCAAAGAAAATTGACAGAAACCAAAAACCCATCTTACATTTTTCTCATGGGTCTTGAAAGAACGGTTCCTCAAGAACACATTCCTAACCAATTCTCCTTTAATTCCCATTTCACTCAGCAAAACAGAGAAAACCCAGAATCAAAATCGACCGAAAAACAGCTTGTTTTAGTCTTTGCGGTGCTGAAAGTCATGCAGAGAGAGAGAACCCGAAAGTAATTGACACAACTAAGAGACGCTGCAAATGGGGCAGAGTGTTATAAAGGTGAAAAAGGGGAGTTGGAAGCAAATTGTTAAAAAAAAACCGCAGAGAAAATAATCAATCCACAAGAGCATGCCCTTTAGAGCTGGACATGGGATCCTTAAATCTCAAACGAAATAATGGAAGCTAAAGAAAAAAGTAAAGGATTAGATGGCAAGAGTTTAATTGCTTTGCAGATAACTTTTTGCACATGGCTGCCACAACACAACACACTGCGTTCATCAACCAAAAAAGGTTTGCTTGCCGATGGGGATATGTCTATTTCTTTTTCATAACTTTTTTTTCCTCCTCCCATTAAATTAACTATCTCCCTCTCTTAATTTGGTTCCTTTTCACTTCAGTCCCTTGTAGTTTGAAATTTTTCAATTCAGTCCTTTGACTTGTAACATCTATAAAGTCTCAAGATCTCTAAAATAGGTCTATTTCCACATTTTTATTAAAAACGTTTCGTTTTTCTCTTAAAGAAGTGTCCTACAGAGATTTTCACACATTTATTAAAAATGTTTTGTTCACTTCCCCCAACGAATCCATGTGGCGTTCCCTTCTCCAATCCATGTGAGACCTCCCAATCCGCCCAAGATCCTTGTTGGCACATCACCCACCCAGTGGCTAGATTTGATACCGTTTGTAATAGCTCAAGTCCACCGTCAACCGATATTGTCCCATTTGGACTTTTTCTTTCTAGCTTCCCCCCAAAATTTTTAAAATAACTCTTGTAGGGGAGGTTTCCACACCTTTATAAATAATGTTTAGTTTTACTCGTCAAATAATGTTTAGTTCCCCTAAAATCCAAATCCTCCCTTAAAACTAAGGGCACAAGTGTAGGTATTGACGCCCCCATTGTGAAGAACTTGTCATGATACAGCAGCTTTATGGCACTGGCTAGCAAAGGAAGGTGAACAGGCTACCAGAACATGCTCCGGTAGAAGGTTTGTCTCAAATCTGACTAAGATTTTGATTGTTTTGACTCACAAGGCAGGCCAATAGGTAGTTTTATTTGGATACCCAAAATGTAAATGACTGAAATTTCGGTAGCAGCCCTTTTAGTTGTTAGCACGTAGCAGATATTTGCGTGTTTTGTTGGTTTTGAAGAAGAAACATTTCATCAAGAGGGGTGGGTGTTCAAGGACCCGAATGAAGCCCTAACTGTAGTTATTGAAATCAAGAGATGAAGGGTAAGTTTGGTTGCTCTAAGCATTGAATTGAGGTTTTATCATTGGTAAAGATGTCTATTTAACCTGCAATAACCTGTTCCAAACGCGAGAGGGAGTCTCCATTGAACGGATGAAGAATGAAATAGGAGGCGAAAATGGGAATGGAGAAGGACTCTTCGTCCCCCGTCCCCGTCCCACCCTTTGGACATCTCTAGTTACATGATCTTAGTGCAACTTTCCTACACTTTTTTGGAGGATTCTGCTAATGTTCAAAAGCCTCTCCCATGTTTAGATTTCTTATAATACTTCCAACTGGAAGATAGAATTGGATATGTTTTTTCTCTATTGTTTCTTCCTCTTTCCTTTGCAACCGAAGTTATAAAGGCCTGGCCTAGCGTAAACCTACCACTAGCAGAGATTATCTTCTATGGACTTTTCCTTTCGGGCTTCCCCTTAAAGTTTTAAAACGCATCTGCTAGACAAAGATTTCCATCCCTCTAAAAAATGTTTCATTTTCCTTCGGGGCCCAGCATCCTCGTTAGCACTTGTTTCCTTCTCCAAACGATGCGAGACTCTCCAGTCCACCTCCTTTGAGGCTTAGCCTCACCGCTGGCATATCGCCCAACGTCTGGCTCTGATAACATTTGTAACAGCCCAAGCCCACCACTAACAGATATTGTCCTCTTTGCCCCTCAAGCTTTTAAAACACTTCTGCTAGGGAGAGATTTCCACGCTCTTATAAAGAATGCTTCATTCCCCTCTTCAACCGACGTGGGATCTCACAATGACTTCCAGTTGATATCAAATTACGAGTTAAGCATGCTATCCAAGGAGCTTGTTATCAGTAGGTCCAGTACAAGAGTTATCACCACCACTTTCCCAAGTAAGATCTTGCAACTTTCTTTGAATGGAACAAATGCAGACTGCTTAGAAGGGCGGGCGCCCCTCGAGAAGATGGTAATTGATTGCGCAATGGGTGTCATGCTAACTAAATCAGTGGCATTTCAAATGGAAGGAACAACGTTCCAGCTCCCTCTGGCAAGCCCAATCTGGTTTTGTCTACATCTTCTCCACAGATGCAAGAAAGGGCAAGCATGATGATCAATTTCTTAAAAGGTCAGCTGTTCTATCTCAAGTCTGGAAGGAGGATCTTAATTCTGGAAATTTGTTAAAATCTATGTTAGATTTGTTTGATGAAAGGATCTTCTGCTTCATTCGTGCTCCTGAAATGTAACGGTTCAAGCTTACCATTAGCCGATACTGTCTTTTTTGGGCTTTTCCTTTCGGACTTCCCTTAAACGCGTCTGCTAGGGAGAGGTTTCCACACCTTTGTGAAAATGTTTTGTTCTCCTCCCCAACTGACGTGGGATCTCACAATCCACCCTCTTCAGGGCCCAGCGTTTTCGCTGGCATTCGTTCCCTTCTCTAATCAATGTGGGACTCCCAATCCACCCCTTCAAGGCTCAGCGTCCTTGTGCTTGGGTCCACCCTTTTGGGATTCAGCCTCTTTGTTGGCACATCACTCGATATCTGGCTCTAATACCATTTGCAATAGTTCAAGCCTACTATTAGTAGATATTGTCAATTTTCACCTGTTACGTGTAGCGGTCAACCTCACAATTTTAAAACTTATCCAGATACTACTAACGGTGGGCTTGGGCCGTTACATGAAATTTCCATGTTCTTGTAAAAACTCTTATCTATTTTCAAGTAGAAAATATGGTTCACATGGCGCTATAGAATCAAGCTGAAAAAGGAAAAACATGTTTTATTTCAGTTAAGAAGAACCTCACTCATCTGAATTGATTCATGAATTTACAACCACACCAAGTACACAGCGATTCATGTAATAGCAATCAGAACGCTCAAGTGGCCATTACACCAGTTTCACGCTCAACAGCCTTCATCAACAAGCTGCCCTCTTCCAGCACCATCTGAACAGGCAAGAACCCCATCCCATTAGCCATCCCAAGCATCATCCTTTTGGTCTCAGTCTTGAACTCATCCAGATCAACTGTTCCATTCAAGTCACGATCAAACTGCAAGAACAGAGCACTATAAACAGAAGAAACCTCATCTGGGTCAAGCTTCACGTCAATTTCAAAGTCGTTCTGTGTCACCCTCAGGCTCTGCAACTCCTCTAGCATCTCGCTATAAGAAAGGAGGCCATCATGGTTGGTGTCAAGGTGAGCAAAGCGTTCTCTAATGAAGGCACCAAAGGCTGCCTCGTCCTCAACAAAGTTGACGATGGTTTCACTGTCCAATATTTCCACACTCATTTCAGCTGCCTCTGATATGGGTCTCTGATGAGCAGAAGGATGGGCCAAGCTTCCATATAAATAGGCCTCAGAGCCATCAGTGCTCTCTCTGTGCCCATTTTTCTCACCGGCAGAACCAGTGGGAAGTGCCAGTGATGAAGATTCTGACGGCAAATCTTGATTTAACGGACGTGAAAAAGTATGTTCCAATCGAATTTAATACAAAATTGAAGTACTGAAGTAAGGTCGTAAAGTCAACACGATGAGAAGTCGATGCAATTAGCTTTAGAATGTTTGAAAGGAAATATGCTTAAAATCAATCTAATATTTGATTATATATAAGATAAATTTTACCGAATTAAAATTAATTTTGAATTTATAACTTAACAAAAGCAATTTTAACAAATTTAATATAGATATTTCTCGCACCCGACATTTTTTTTTTAAAAAAAAAAACATGTTTTAGTTCGTCTCGATCCTAATTTGATTCTTAAAACTTTAAAAGTAAAAAAGTTAAAAAGTTAGTCTTCAGTAGTTATTAGAAGGATAAGCTTTTTAGAGTATTTTGCTGACAAAAATCTTAGAGTTAAAGGAATATTACAACTAAGATAAGATGTATAGAGAGAAAAACCTAAATTTTGCGGTCGTAACAAATTATAAAATGAAAAAAAATATTGTAAAAAATTCTCGAGAAAATTAGCATACACTAGAAAAAAGTTTTACTATATATATCAAAACCGATACACAAAATTAACATTTCATTTATTTATAACTAGTAAATATATTTATTTTTTAAATATTGAAACTATGTAGAAATATTTAGCTTTTAAGTTTTAAAAATTAGTATATATTGTTTCAATAGGAATTATATTTAAAAATGAGGGTTAAATTTAAATTAATCATATTTCTCTATTTACTATAAAAAAAATTAAAAAATAGTATTTTAGAAAATAAAAGGAAAGGAAATTATTTACCATGGCCATTTTTTGAAATACTAATTAAAAATGGAAAAGTTAAATAAAGATATTATTCCATTTTTGTGCCACCAAAACCCTTTTTAAAAGTGAAGCATATTCCTTCAATGTAATTTTCAAAATTTTTAGGTTATATTAATAATTTAGTCCTTATGATTTTGGTCGAATAAAACCTAATAAATAAGTCTTCCTCCTAATTACAAGGATCCAATTGTAAATAAGCCTTCCCGATTATAAGGATGAAATTGTAATTTTTAAATACTTTTAAAAGTTAACTTGGTTACGTTATTCCAAATATTTCTAGCGAACTTGAGACTCCCTACATTTTTATATAAAATATTTATTACATTGTGGCATTTGAAGTTTGAAGTCTTATGACACCCTAGAAATGTTACTATATGTGTATTAACTATTTTTGTGTGCGGTGCCAAAAAAAAATCGAAATAAGAAGCTGGAAGAGAGAAGATGATATTTAGTCTTTTCATTACATCATATTTGACTCTCGATTATATAAGTGTTACATTATTGAAAATATTTATTTAGTCTTCAACTACAGAATGTATCATATTTGACCATTGATCTTTGACTTTTAATTATATAAATGATTATAAATAACTAACTTTTTCAGCTTAAGTGTGATAGTTTTAACAAATATTATCACAAAGTTGTTAAATGAACGACTCTCCACGATCATATGATATTGTCCACTGCATAAGCTTTCACGGGTTTGCTTGAAGAGGCCTCACACCAATGGAGATAGTATTCCTCACTTATGCATGTGGACATCTCTGGTTTCGTAAAATTAAAGAACTCATAAGCGAAGTTCAACAAATTAGTCATTGAAATGTAAAAACTGAGGAACAAGATGAACGGACTCAAAATTTTGTTAGGATCTCATGAGATGAGTATCCTTCCATCGAAACAATCAAGCAACAGCGAGTTTGGTTGATTCTCTGTCCACAGCTTTCTTCAAGAAACTATTCTCTTCCAACACCATTCGAACAGGAGAAAGGCCAATACCATTAGCCATGGCCAGCATCATCTTCCTGGTTTCAGCCATGAACTCACCCAGATCAACTTTCCCATTGCAGTCCCGATCAAACTGCGAGAACAACGATGCATAAACAGAGGAAAGCTCTTCCGGGTCGGGTTTCACATCCACTCCAAAATGGGTCTCCAACACTCTAAGACTCTGCAACTCCTTCAGCATCTCTCCGTACGAAAGAACCCCATCTCTGTCCATGTCAAGCTCCCTGAAATGCTCTGTAATTGTCGCTCTGAATGCCTCTTCGTCTTCCACGAAGCTCACGATCGTAGCACTGTCCAAGATTTCTACGCTCATTTTGAACCTCTTCCAAGAACACAAAGGAAATATTCAAGAACTTGTGAAGGAATTAAGTGAAAATCGTTTATTATATATAGAGGTCTCGGAAACAGAGACCTTTATGTCAATTGTGCTTTAGACAGAGACTTTTTGCACGTTGTTCAAGGGTGTTTTCAGTCTTTTCAGGTTTTGAGCCGTTGGTTTCTTGGTCAAATCACTAAATTATACTTAATTTTCACCTCAGTCTCACACTTTTAATATAAGCCCCCGTCACTTTACTTTGAGCTCACCAAAAAGTCTCGTACCAATAGAGATAGTATTCCTCACTTATAAACCCATGATCTTTCACTAAATTAACCAATGTGGGACTCACTCCCAATAATCCTCAACAGTTTCTACACTTTATAACGAACCAAATGTTTCATTCTTCTCTCCAATCGATGTGGGATCTCACAATCCACTTTCTTGGGGCCTAGCGTCTTCGCTGACTCACCTCCTAGTGACATTTATAATAGCTCAAACTCATTACTAGCAAATATTATTCTTTTTGGCCTATTATGTATCGTCCAGGATATTAAAACGCCTCTGCTAAGAAGTTAAATTATGATATTTAATATATTTTAATTATTTATTAAAAAATAACATTTCTTACCATTTTTCCCCGCCGTTGGTTTGTTTGGCAATGAGTTTAAACTAAGAATGGAATTGCATGGCGAGGGGTTGGTCGGCTGATAAAAACAAGAAAAATGGTTGAAACTATGGTGCAAATTTGGAAGGTTCTTAATATTTCTACTTCCAACTCTGATTCTTCCATTCATTGGGGTTTTCTTCACCAAAAAGTTTCCATGCATTGGTTTTTTTTTGTAATAAAATAAAATTCTAAATTATTTTCTTTTAATTTAGATATATATTTTTTTTTTGAGTAAATGTAAGCTTTCATGGCTTTGTTATAGGCTTTCCCAGACGACCTCCTACCTCCTACCAATGTTGATGTATTCCTTTACTTGTAAACTCATGACCATTCTCTAAATTAGTCAACGTGGGACTCACTCTTAACAAAAATTACATAAATAAAATATTTAAAACTTTATATATAATTGAATCGTATTCAATAACTATTAAATCTTATTAAATAAAATAAACGAGCATGGCCCCAAACCAAATTACATTTTGTTAAAGAAATAAAGGTGTCTTAATTGCTAAAGTTTCCTCACATTTACTTAAATATTTATTAGTCTATGACTTATGTAAATATTCAAAATGTAATTTATTTTTATTAAATAATACATTTCAAGGATTATCTATTATTCTTTTATTCAATTTTCATTGAGGGTGTGTGTTGTAAAATACAAATATATGTATAATTCAATCATTATTAAAAATAAAATAAAAGTATAATTCAATCATTATTGAAAACTATTCATTTCAACAAATTAATTATAATAATTGCTAAAAATATTGATGACTAGTTCAATTATTTAAGCTCCTTTACCCTTTTGATACTAATTGCCCTTTCAATTTTTAAACTTTATATATTTGTTTTTTTTATTTATTTTAAGGATTATTTAAATTTTTAGTAAAATTTCAAAAATAGAAAATAAAAAACAAAAATAGTTATAAGCTTTATATTTACTAATTATTTTTAAAATTAAAACAATTTTTTTTTGTAAAAAATAATATTAAAAACTTTTTTTCAAACATATTTTTTAAAAATCTAAAACAAAAAATAAAAAATCAACTGGTTATAAAAAAAAAGAATGGTCTTAAATGGTAACATTAAAATCTTAATTTTAATATAATTTTTTTAATCAATTTAAACATAGCTCAACTAATTATTCATTATAAATAAAATCAAAATCTCGCATAAAAGTTTCAAAGAACAAAAACTATTAAACGTGACATAAAATCAATGCCGACCTACATTGCTAATCTTCATCCATTTGATATAAAATCTTTTTATCTATGCTCATTTTTCTTCTACCTCTCCATAGAGTATTAACTGCGTTCATATTATGCGTGCTATTAAGTGCATTCAAACCCGCCTTTGTCCCAGCACACCAACCAAATTTGATATCTTAACTTCCCTTTTGAAGTATTTCAAGCGTTGTTTGGGCCATTATTTCATACATTCATCTCGAAGCTTTAAATTAGAAAGATGCAATGAAAATTTCAGTATCTACGTAGGCACGAAAAAAACACTTTGAAGAAGACTCCATCAACCCACAAATAGTTGCATAAAATATTTGATCACTAAGCTCAGCCATTAAACCACTATAAGAAAACACGTCTACTGCTGTTTACAACAGTTTTTAAAAAAAACATTGTAAGAGTTTAAACACGGATTAAAAAATTTTCATACCAAAATATAGGATTAAATTAAATTATAAATATAGTTTTATTTAAATATCTTGTGAACCTATTCAAAATTCTTTTCAAACATTTTACGTATGTATTAGACAAATAAGATTATTTCTTTTAGTTTTGTGTTGATGTTGTTTGAAAATTAATCAGACACAAAATTGAAAGTTCGAAAGCATAATTTTAAAGATATCTTTCAAATTACAGAAAAGTGAGCTCTGAGAACATCCAAATTAGTATGTACCTAAAGAAGGTTTGGGCTGAGATGAAGAGAGATGAGTATTAGACCCCACGCCATAAATGCGAAGGATCCACCTCTGAATTGCACAATGAATATGCCAATTTGAAAGTTTGACAATGGTGCCCCAAGCATTTAATATCCAACTTTAACTCATCGCCCCATATCATCACTCATTTGCAGACACAAATCAGAGATGAAAAAGACCTACAAATATCAACACTTCAATCTACCCATGAGCCAATTACCCTCTCTCCCAATACCTATCCTAAACTCTTACATTTTTCTCATACTCATCTATTCTTGAATGATGATAATGATACGATGATAGTTCGATGAAACACGAATAATATTAGGATAGTTCAATTTTTTATCGTTATACTGGTTTACGTATATGTTCTCAATCTCGAGATCAAAAATTTTAATTTGTATTTTGGTTTTGGGTTTCTATACTTTTAAATATCTAATTTTAGTTTATATACTTTCAATTAATTTTAAAATTTTGAAATTAGTTTGTGTGTGAAAATTATTATTATTATTATTTATTTAATTCAGATGAAAATTAACTTTAAATAACTAAATTTAAGATTTATTGAAAATTGGTAGATGGAAATAGACCATAGAAACGATAAAGATTAAAATTGAATAAATCTAACCATTTGTAAGGTAATCGCCTCCCGACAATTGATTGATTGTTGGGTCTAGAGAGAGAATGTTCGTGTTGGTGTTAGATTTCGAGAGATTTCGAGAGTGTTCATGAAATTTATGTCAGTCATCGTTACATAAATTGATTGTCATATGAATTTGTCAATATCTTGTACCGAACCTTTTTTTTTTAGGAAACACAGATTGAACCTTCCATTTTTAAGAAATTTAGTTATACTCATGTTGAATACTAGACGATTTTGATTTCGTAATAACACTAATATAAATACAATAAATATAATGAAAGAAAAATATTATTATAAATTTAGATAATATTTGGTACATTGTTTTTCCACTTGAAACATCCCTGTCCAACTTGGTTGAAGGAAAGCTATTCAACAACATTGTCCTCATGTGCTTTTTTTTTTTTTTTTTCTCTTTAGAAACTATTTTAATTTAGTAATTAAATATATATTTTTTTAATTATAAATTCATTAAATCATCTCTCAAAAATAATTTTTGGGGTTGGGTTCTATCCAAATTTAATCCTTCTACTCTCTTGGCCGGAAGCATAGATAATCATAGATTCTTGTCTAAAGCGTCATTATATACTACAAAGCTTTCTGAATCATTTGACACCGTGAGTACGAGCAGCATCACTAATTGCTCCTCGATCTCTACAAAGCTTCTCTAGCACAAAAGATTTTCCCTTCTCGATTGATCTATTGTTGATTTTTAACCTCATATTTTATATTCGGAACACAAAATCTTAAGCTTTTTCTTTTGGAGAGGACGTTAGTTAAGAGTTTGACTTATTATTTTGCTCGCTCTAAAGATAAGATTTTTGAAGAGGGCTGACTAAATTTGCCTTCTTAATACGAATCAGCTTATCAACACCCAACTAATTTATGGGTCCGTCTTTAATAGCCATGGTTTGAATTCGAGTCTTTTTGCACCTATAAATACATCTACAAAGATGCAAATCTTACTCATCCCGTCTTCAAAATTTAGTCTCTTCCTAAACACAAAAATGAGTTCCAAGGCCTTTATTTTTCTCGGTCTTCTCTTCGCCCTCGTTCTCCTTATCTCTTCGGAGGTGGCCGCGAGAGACCTCGCAGAGACCTCCACAAAGAAGGAGAACGGTTAGTTCGTGAAATATTTATTTATTCCATTTAAATCTTTATGTTCTAACGTCGGTTTGTTTTAATGATGATATATTGTAGAAGCCACGGCGGAGACCAATGGCGTAGAGGATGCCAAGTATGGAGGATATGATGGAGGTTATGGCGGGCGTGGTGGGTACGGTCGTGGTGGGTATGGTGGTCGAGGTGGGTATGGTGGTCGAGGTGGGTATGGTGGACGTGGTGGGTACGGTGGCGGAGGTGGGTATGGAAGGGGTTGCCGGTATGGACGATGCGGGTACAGGTGCTGCAGCTACGCCGGTGAAGTGGTGGAGGGCGCAAAGCCGTAGGACGACGTGGGGATGGGGTGAAATAATGAAATAGTTTAAAAGTTAACGTGTGAAGTGTGAAGTTTGTGAAATAAATGCATGGGGAATGGAGTGGCTGCTAGTTTTTCCTTTTTCCCTGTGTTTGGGTTTTAGTTTGTTGCTACAAGATTTCAACTTTGTATAATCCTAGTACTATTTCCATCACTCCGGCTCTGATTCATTGATCTCCATCTCGACTCGAAAACTCACAAACCATGCATTATCTAAAGGTTAGGAGGCTTGTAAGCACAGCTGTTCATAAAATCTGATGACTCGAAAAATTTAATCAGGTTGAATTGGGTTGAGTTGTAAATTTTTTAACTCAAACAACCCTTATTAAATAATAAATCATGGTTGGGTTGATCGAGTTTTGTATTGAAGTATATAATCTTTGAATATTGAAAGAATGAAGAGAGTATATAATCTTTGAATATTGAAAGAATGAAGAGAGATAAGACGCTACTTAATAAAAATAAATAATATCAAATTAATATTTCATTGCCTAACTCATTTAAAACTGAAATAATTTGAGGGTAATTTTTTTTTTACTATAATTATTGTTTTTATCTAATACTGTAGGTTAAAAGTTTGAATCTTACCCGAAAATTTAATATGCATACATATGGTAGATGTGACATTAAACGTCTGGACCTATCTACTATTATTATTATTTATTATTATTATTGACACTTAAAATAAGAACCACTTTTTATAATTAAAACCCAGCAATATAAAAATGGAGAAATGCAAGGATTAATATAATATATAAAAAAAAACGTTAAAATTAAATAGATGACGGTGGTTTTCATTAATACGAGTGATTTTTCATCTTCCCATCTTTTCTTATTTTTCAATATATTTAAAAAAAGTTATTTATATATGAATTTGGCGTGTTGATTTAGTGTTGTCTATGTTGATTCTAACGATCACATAGTAGCTATGATAGAACTTGGCCGAGTTGATGGTGTCAAACGCTAGAGTTTCAAAGGAAGCTTTAGATTCAGTGGCAAACGCCACCACGGTTGTTGTCACACCACCATCACCACACAGTTGCTTTGTTGGTGAGGCTCTTAACGCAGAGCCCTAAGTCTTAACGACATAGAGTTGAGAGATTCAAACTTCAAGACATTTAAGTCGAGAATTTCAAACATCTTGGGTCGAGAGTATGGTCTAAACCAAAAGCCACGTCATAGAAATATGGTCTAAACCAAAAGCCACGTCATAGAAATATCTGATACCCGGAACCAAGGGACAAGGATAGTAACCCTTTCCCTTTCCCATATTATTATTATTATTATTGTATTGATATAATAATGGTTGAAAAGAAATTATAAGCTAATGAACAAAATTTTCTAGTTCAAAATTAGAAGAGGATGAATATACTATTACCAAACATCTTCCTGTATTATATCCTCTCAATAAACAAATTTAATCAAAGGGACAAAAGGAATGCTGACTTTGCTTCTCTGGGTAGCTCTCTGTTAAGAATCTTCATTTTGAACTTCAGCAGTGTCCTCCATTGCCAAAGCACATGTCTGGGCAGCCAAGGATGATCCCGTCCCGTCCATGGACGTTTCGGTGCTTGCATCCGAAACGTTACCGTCGTTCATGGTTAACAGCTCAGACTCCCCTGCTTGTTGCAGCAGGCTCCAGTACATGATGCTAGCAGTCAGTATAAGGATCATCTTTTGGTTCACCTGTTCAACAACAACAATTTAACAACACTTGCAATCACCAGTTCTTGAAAAGATTAGCCATTATCTACTTAGTTGCAGCAACTTACTTCAATAATATCTTCAGGGAGCAAGAAAAGGGAGCAGCCGAGCTTTCGAGCCACACTAATAATATACGTCGCGTTCAGCTTCTTGTCTTCGTCTGCAATTTGACATTTTTACGGTAAGACTGCTATCCGACCCGTGGGCAAAACTGAAACGATCGGAAAGATCGAACTGGAGGAAAAGGGGCATAAGGACTCACCAGTCTCTCCTTTTGTAACAACTGCCCAGTTCACCACCCTTGGCTCCACAGAACTAAGAAGTTCGAGGAAGAAGACGCCATTTGAAAGGTTCTTATCCTGAAACCAGAAGTAATATCATTGACGTGAAACAATCAACGAAAGAAAGTCGACGTAAAAACGTGAACGTTCTTCAATTGTTTACCTTGAAGCCCTCCATTTGGGAGGTTCTACCGGCTTTCTTCACTTTGTTGTTTGCCCAATTCAGAATATCAGCATCTGTAATCTCTTTGCCCTCTTTACCTTGAGAGTGTGATCTCAGGTTTCTCAACAGTTGAAGCATAGAAAACCTCATCAGTTGCCATAGAAATGCTGCTCAATAAAGAAGCCAATTGTCTTTAGATGTTTGGTCTTGCAATTTCTACCTCTAGTTTGAGGATCTCCAAGTCTCTTATATTACAGAATGGAAATTTTGAATCAACAGCAGTAACTAGGCAGTAAAATCATCATCCGTTGAAGACGGGAACAAAACATTCTTTATAAGGGTGTGGAAACCTCTCCTTAACAGACGCGTTTTAAAAACCTCGAGGGAAAACCCGAAAGAGGACAATATCTATTAGCAGTGAGTCTGGGCTGTTACAAAATAGTATCAGAGCCAGACACCGGGCGATGAGCCAAATGAGGAGGCTGAGCTCTGAAAGGGGGTAGAAACGAGGCAGTGTGTCAGTAAGGACGTTGGGCTTCGAAGGGGGTGAATTGGGAGGTTTCACATCGATTGGAAAAGGGAACGAGTGCCAGCGAGGACACTGGGCCCCGAAGAGAGGTGGACTGTGAGATCCCACATCTTCCTAGCAGACTCGTTTTAAAAACCTTGAGAAGCTCGAAAGGAAAAGCCGAAAGAGGACAATATCTACTAGCGGTGGGATTTGGCTGTTACACAAATCATTTTCATTCTTTTTCTAGATGTATATAGCTAAAGAGTATGGTTGATTAATCTTTCTGCTAGCAACTGATAAATCAAACAAATCATAAACACAACATAACAACATCTCATTTCAAGCTCGAATGTGAATACGGATCGAAGCTATAAGTGAACGAAGTTCTAGAAACGAGGAGAAATTTCGCAGTTACCTAGTATAAGCTTCTTGTTTCCCTGCACAATATCATTCCCAGCTACGTTTACAAGAGAAAAATTCAAGTCCTTCCCAAGTTTTACTACTTGGTTGCAATTCTCAACTTTTCTAAATGGCATCTTGATAGGAGGCTTTGTTGCCTGTTTCCAGATTACTGATCCAGGAGAAACCTTGTCAAGAACTTCCAAAAGAACCCATCTGCAGTATGGACGTATCTCAAGCTTGTCCATAAATAGGAGGATAAATAGTTTGATTCATAAGTTATGGTAAAACAAAAACAATACCCGTGTCTGACGTCCTCGAAAACATTGTTCACATATGTAGCTATGCCAATACTGTTAATCCACAACCGGAAGCACCGCTCCTCCCGCGAAGTTTCGACATCATCAGTCATCATTTCTGCAAATGACATTTTGGAAGTATCGGCAGACAACCCATTCCTGCATTACAAGTTTGCAATTCAAATAAGATATTCAATGAAACATACTGCTATAGACAACCAGTCAACAAATTCTCTATATTCCAATCAAGTTTTCGACTCGAAATCATATGGACCTCCAACTTATGATATTTCGTCTCATGGGTAAGACTCGAGTAACCGGTTAACCATCGTGGTTCAGTCCAAACCAAACACGAAGGAGAAAATGAATCTTCTCACCTTTGCTGAAAAATTTGGGCAACAAATGCAAGATTAAGATTAGGTGAGCCCTCAACAATGTCCTTGGGAGTTAGATATCTTTTACATTCCAATTTTTCTGCAACCTCAAGAACCATATTTGCTCTTTCGGTAGGATCTTTCACGTTCAAAGTCGATGGACCAGAGAACTCCGGTGCAAGAGCATTGAGCAGATAAGCATATGCCTCCCCATCCTGCAAATGACGAACGGATCTAACTAAGTTTAGATGATCAAATATCTAAAATCCATTCAAATATCTAACTTTTATAATCAATCTTCTAACCTTCACATCTGATGAAAAGTTTGTGACTTGTTTCTCATAGCCAGCTTTTTTCAGATGAAAATTCATCCATTTGAGTAGAACTTTCTCTGGTGCTAACCCTATGAGTTCTTCCACCTCCTGAAAGATTATTGATAATAATTGTAAGAAGTGTTACAAGTCATATGATATCAGCTTCAAGAAAAGAAAGCCACCTTGCTATCATCAACCAGTTCCACAAGTTGAGGAGTTTTATTCAGATTAAGATCAGCCAGCACTTGAATCTACATTCCCAGATGATTAAGAGAAATAAACAAAGCGTCCGAATAGTGAAGACCTCGGAAAATCAAATGAAGAAGATCGATTCGTTTGTACCTTAATGATTTGTGATATCAATCCAAGCAGCAGATGTGGCTAGAACATAAAATAAAACAGGGGACAAAGGTTAGGAAACTTTACAATAAATTTATTTAAATGAATATGCTACAGAGAGGTAGCTTTTAACGCACTCTAGCTTCAACCAAATCTTGTGTGCCAATGTTAACCACTGTGCATCCAATAGCCTTTGCGGAGTTAAGGCCGAGCGTATGGTTTTCGTTTCTCTCCCATGGATTAAGGACTTTTTTCGTATTGATAGCTCGTTCGTCTATGGTCCCTGGAACAGCTACATTGATGAGCTTACTGCACAGGGCAACCAAAAGCATAAACAAAGATTGGTAGATGGATCTAACACAAAGTTAAACATCAAAACGTCTAAATTTAAGTTGTTTCGACTACCAGAGAAGAACGCCGTCTTTCGCAAGGTCAAACAAATCATTGGTAGCTGGATCTAAAGGGAGATAATTCTTCAGAAATGGATCTTCACCCAGAAAACTGTTTATGTGTGCAACATAAGATGCTTTCTCGGATTCGTTAATTGCGTGATGGAACGTAGTTGTGGCAGCCTTGAGGAACGACGACGAATTCTTAGATTCGCCTGATTTCTCTGTGGCTCTGGCTTGTAAATCTAAATATGCCTACAGTAATGAATCATGTAAATTCAACTACTGCTTTTGCTTGTAGAAAAGTTCAACATAAACAGATAGCAATCCAATAATGAATAAACTCACCCTAAGATACGACTCAAAATCGATTTCTTCACCGACGTCTCGACTTGTTTCCTTCAAGAATTCTTTAATCTCATCCTCAGTAAAAATTCCACTGAAAGCTTTCAATTTCGCATAAACAGGTGGCAAATCTTCGACCGTGACACGACCCGATTGGCTCCTTACCGAAAGAAACTGAATCCATAAAAAACATTTCTCATATCAACTGAAAAAAATTCACAAGAACATAACCAAAAACAACTTGAGCAGCTCTCAAGCAAAAGGGAGTTCAATGCTTACTCTGGATTTGAGGGTTCGAAGCTCGACTTGGGTGAATTGACTTTGAAGCCATGGATCAGAAACAAGAACACCCACAAAGCTTGACATCTTCACCTCTCTTTTTGCACAATCTTTAAACACAAAGAAATTTTCCTAACTACTGAAACAATAAATTCCAATCAATACTACAAATGAAACCAACATCAAAAACATGGAACAAAGACGATCATTGACGAAACGATAGATTCCATGAAATGAAAAACCAACAAAAACCCATTTGAAGAGCCATAGATTACCTGCGATTCAACGTACTTCAGACTTGGGGGGATTAATCCAACAGTGTGAAATCAACAAATTCAAGGAAAATAAAGAAAGCCCAGAAAGGAAAAACAATTAAGAGCAATGCAAAAGGAGATTAAAAGACTATGATACCTAGAGAAAACTCATACGCTTGGAGATGGAGGCGATTAATCAAGAAATGAATCTCATGGTGAAGAAGAGGATGTGAAGAGGCAAAGAGGGGGATGAGAATTAGGGACAAGAATAGGCGAGGAAAAGGAGAGAAAATCGTGCTTGTTTTGAGGAACTGCTGAGACCCAGAAAATGGGGAGCCAAAAACTAAACTCAGCCACTGAAATGCTTGAACAAAAAAATGATATGTAATATAATTCAACACCCTTTTGCTCTCTTCAGAGTTTTCAAAATGAAAATCCATTCATTCCTTTGTTCATTCTCTCTTCTCTAATACATTTCTTAATCATCACGCAATCTCTCTTTGGGAGGCTTTAATTTCCATTAATTAATGCACGAATGGCTTGGTACTCATAATCAACCCAAATTCAAAAGTTTACTACCAAACTTAAAATGCCTCTCTTCCTTGATTATAAAAAAACTTAAAATTTTTAACCTTATAAGTGAATTATTTGTTCTCATAAAAGGCAATAATTTAAATATTTTTCTGTTTTCAAAGTTTGGGTATAATTCTATATTCAAATGTTTATAAAATATATTATAAAGTTTGAAAATTGTGACAAAATAAGGCTTGGAAACTAAAAATAATGTCATTCTCAACCTTTCTTAATTATTTTTAAGTTATTTCAATGGCCTCAACTTCTTCGAGCTCGAACAAGTTCCAACTGTCGGTGCTAGAACATGGTTAAGAGCACATGTTTTGGAAGAACTTTGAACGTAACAAAAGTGATCCTTATCAACTGAAACGTGTTCTTGGGATGGGCGAGTATCCGAATATAAGAATTGGTGTGTGGTATTGCTTTATGTTGAAATATAACATTGAAGTGTAAAACAAAATTCCTTCCCCATCATAATTTATAGACCACACAATAGGAAATCTCATGCACAAATCAAACAACATATATGTTCACAAAAAAATGGAGCTTCACATGAATAACAGAACAAAATGACAATATTGTTTTCTTAATGTAATAAATGGGTGGTAGGATTTTTTATGACAATCAAAACAAAAATCCACCTGAAATTGCCAAAACAATGTGAATCAAACTCCCCCAGTTGATGATCCTGTTGGAAGATGATGGCTTTGGTTCTGAAGATGGAGCAGTCTTTCCATCACTATCAGCTGAAGGAGCATCTGCAGCAGGAGCGATATCGGGTGCCGGTGCCGGTGCTGGGGTGGGCGGGATATCGGTTCCGAAGATTGCCTCAGGCAGCAGAACTTTGTCAACTTGGTAAACTGCTACAGGGTCACTTGAATGCACACTGCTACTCACTTTTGTGTTAGTCCAGCCAGAGCCAATGTGGATAGACCCTGAAACGTCTGTGAAGTTCAAACTGTACTGCCCACCGGCGAATGTAGTGATCGGATTCTGAAGGCTGAGGTTCCTAAATTCAGAAAGGGTATAGAAATGTGGCAAGCCATGAAATAGGATGAGAGATTTGAGCTGATCGTCGGTGAGATTCGAGAGAGACGGTTTCTTTTGCGCCGAGAAAGCGCTGTCTTTTGGGACAAAGATAGTCACTCCTTCCTCTGTGTTATTGGCTTGGTTTTGGAAGGTGTCAATAACTTTGGTGGACTGGAGGTAGCTGAGGAAGGTGTGAAATGGACCAGCCACAGTGAGCAGATCTGTGAGGTTCACAAAATCTGAGGCTGGCGCTGGTGCTGGGGCTGGGCTAAGTGATGGTGGGCTGGCTGTTTGGGCATCTGCAGATGAAGAACTCAGAAGCAACAATGCACTACAAACAGTGAAAATCATGGAAAATTCCATTTTCCACAACTTCCTGCAGATCAAAAAAGCTACCCAGTATCAGATCTTAGAATTCTAAATCAATATGCTTCACAAGTTCACAGAGACATTTTCACAAACAGTTCAACTGCAGTTAAAGTTAAAGCTGACTAAATCTCAGGAAGAACTAAACTAAACAAGTCCAAACCCAGATCTCACAAGCTCAGTAACCAACTTAAACAGAGCAAAAACAAGAAAACAACACATTCAAAGATCACAAGTAAATCAAACAGAAAAACTAGAAGGAAAAAGAATTCAAAGCCATACAAACACAAATAACCAATTCAAATTGTCCCATCACTCCTTCAAACAAAACCCAAATCAACAAATCTCAAAGAAATAAGTGAAAAAAAGAAAGACCCAGATCTAGATCAGCTCATTAGAAATGATAGCAGGCGTAAGCAAGCAAACCCAAATGTAAAAGAGGCATAATTAGCAATGGCAACAAGAGGGATACTAACCAGCCAGGCAAGAGAAAAGCTCTGACAGAGAAACAATGAGGAAGGAGATGAAGAACACAAATATAAAGATTGAAACTTGGAAACAAGTATTTAAAGAAATGGAGAAGAACAGCAAATGGGTCGTGAACTAAGAGATGGGATCTTCCTTAAGACATAAAAAAAAAAAAACCATACTTTAATGGGAAGGCTTTTCTCTTAACAAGTGGGCCATGTAGGGTACCCTTTCTTAATCACATTTGAACTAATTCTTTTTTACCTTTTCTTTTCCTATTTTTAATTTCTTTTCCTCTTTAGATCGAACCAAAAATTAGCCAAATCTTTTCGGGTGTCGGTTTATCTGTCGAATTATCGAATATGCACATTCCTCACGATAATGTTGAATTTTTTTTGTACAGTAACTTAGTTTGTTCACTGAATGTTTTGAATAACCCAATTAAGATTTTGAAATTAAAGTTTCGATTTTAGGATAATAAATTATGTTCAAATAGGTAATTAAATCTTAAAATATAATTTAGAAGTGATGTATTATTATTATTATTATTATTATTATCATTATTATTATGATTATGATTATTATTATTATTATTATTATCTGGTCCGGTAAAAATAATAAAATTTGTAAATTTTAAAGTTTCTCAAGTAATCTTTTAAAAGAAAATTATTTTCTTTTCTTTTTTATTATTTTAATTTTTGGAGTATTTATTTTTATCTAAAATTAGGTTTATCAATTTATTCACGAATGTCTCGTGCCCTCGTCGGAAAATTATAATTAAAGAAAAAGAGGGGAAAAAAATAATACACAACGAGAAATTAATCAAAATATCGCGAGAAGCGAAAATGAAATAGAACATATCAGGGGCCCACCAAAGGAATTTGGTGTCGGGTTTGGTGCTCCAACTCCGAGGCCGGCTCTGCCGCCAACTGTCTCTCTTTCAATGATTATCATCCAATAACAAAACCAACATCCGAATCTCACCTCCGGCTACCGCCGTCCCACGGTGGTTTCTGCCGTTTGGGGCGGCCCTACGGCCCAAGATTCAATCAATCTCATCTTTCAAATGATTAATACTTAAAATTAGCTGATTAATCCTTAATAATTAATACTAGAAATGTATAATACAAGATCAATTCATATAATTAATAATTAACACAAATATAATAATTTTTTTTGTTTAAATACTATTTCCTTCATATATATTTTTTTTAAAATAAATATTTAAATATTATTTACAATTTCAACCCATACTAGAAAAATTAGAAAAAAAATAAAAAATAAATAGATGGGTTTTTTTTTTCCACATTTTTTAAGCATGAATTAATTAGAAGAAAGAAAAATTGAACCACCTCATCGTCGGTGGCAAGGCACCTCATGCTTATTTGGCGAAGTGTGATAATCAAATATCTTTAATTTAATTATAATATTGCCAGCTCATTAAGATTGTGTTTAGAAGGGAGGAAGTCGTGACCCATTAACCCACCGTTTCATGATTGATCATAAGTCCAATCATATGTCCAAGTCATCAAATTGTCTTCTATTTATAATAGTTGGATCTACGTATTTTCCACGCTGTCTTTATGTTTGTTTCCCTTTTGCTAATTAGTCCTTTTTATAGCTATTTTATCTTTTTTGCTAATTACTCCTTTTATTGTCTATTTTGATTTTTCACTTTTTATCCATCCCCAGTAATTATTAGATAAAAATCTTACCATATACATACTTTCTTTAGTTCATTTTATCGACTTTTGCAAATATATTGTTATTTTAGACAATATTAAGACGTTTGTCGTACCTTTAACTAAAAATAGATTCTTTAGAAACATGGAAGATAATTTATTTTTTTTTTTTTTTCTGGAAGTTGCAATACCCATTGAAATGGGGTTATATATATATATTTATAAAATAGAGTTGGAAAAATATGAATTAAAAAAATGTGTAGAAGGGTTGGATGATGTGAGGGCAATGTCAAGAACCAAACAAATTTGCTGGTTTTGAGCTGACAAAATTAATGCATTTTAATCACATGTGACCATCTCATAAATATCACTAATTTCTCTTATTTTTTCCTTAATTACCAACTCCCAATTTTGTTTTATTATTGTTCTTTAAGGAAATAAATAGTAAAGTCTACTAATTTTAACTTTTAAATTTTTTCATCTAATTATCTATAAAAAAAAACAAAAATTGATTATCTCTCCTCTATAATCTTCACCTCTAAATATTATTAATCTCGAAAAAAAATAATTTAAAAATATTGCACGAGTATTTACTCCATTTTATTCACAAAATTTTACGATTTTACGTTTATAAATAGTTCATCAGATTTCGTATCATTTCCAAAATCGAATCATTTATTATAAGGGTGTGGTAGATACATATAGAATTATGTGGAAAGCCGCATTCGATGAAAGTCGTATGTACGGCTTGGAGGGGGATCTTTCGAGATCCACCCTACAATATGGGGTCAAAAAGCCAAAATAAATGATTTTAGCCCTTACAAAAAGAAAACGGATTCTTGAACCCCTTTCACGCTCATCGTTCATGTTGCAAGGTACGAAAAAATTGCAAAATCCAATCCAATTTATTGTAATTGATTAGTTAATATGTTGGTTAACCGTATTTTGAAACACAGAAAAAATCATTGGCTTATCAAATTATCTATCGAGCCATGAAAAAGATTCAACAAAAGACAGAAACAAATCCACTATCTATTTTACGTCAAGGAGTAACTCTCGATATAGCAGTAAAGTCAAGACGTGTAAGCGGATCAACTTATCGAGTTCGTTGGTTATTAGGGGAAAACCCCAAATTGAAGGAAAGCTAGTAAGGGAAAACCCCAACGTTTTAAAATCTTGAAGGAAACCTAAAAAGCGAAAACTCCAAATTGAACAATATCTACTCGTAGTGCTCGAGCTGTCACAAATGGTATCAAAATCCGACACTACACAGTGTGTTAGCGAGAATACCGACCCCAATAAGATAGATTATGAGATTGCACATTAGTTTAAAAAAAAACGAAGTATTAATGACATGAAAATTCCTCCCCAAATGCATTTTAAAACATGAACTTTGACTATTAAAAAAAAAAAAGAAAATTGAAAGAGGGTAAACGGTAATTTTCTGGTATAGGTGAGAATTGACTTAAGGATGTCTGTAATTTTCACTTGGATACAAATCTGTCAGAAATAGTCAGAAACAACCAAGCCAAACAGCCTGTTAGCTTCTTCTTTTCAATGATTATTATTTTTATTATTGTAAATTTTTTTTTTTTTAAAAGTCTCTTTTATTGCATTATATTGCACGTTTATTTGTTACAAGAATTATATTAAATAAATAAATAAACATACATTTTTTAAATAAGCTAAAAATACTTTTAAAAAAAAAAAATTATTTTCAATTTTTTTCCATTCATTCAGCTTCTCATCCCAACCACTGGAAACCTGTAAAAGTTTGGATGCAGCATATACCTAGCAATTAACAAACTTGTTGGCCTTAATTATAATTACATGTAATTAAAAGAGAAATTAATTGACTAAAATGGCAGGTTAAGAACAGAACATCACTGCTCCTCAGGCTAATCATTGCCTTATTATGTTGCAGCCCACTCCTTTCTGATATCAAATGTGTAGTTGATTTCCAAGTAACACTTGTTATCATCATCAACAAACTGCAAAAACATACACAAAAAGCTCTTCATACTTCATTACAACAATGAAATATAGAGCTGTTTGAATCGAGGTTTGAGGAACCTCATCGTGGAATGAAAAGGGTAAGATCAAGAAAGTTTTTTGAGAACGAGGAAGGTTTGTCAAAACGCACGTAGCTGACTGGTACAAACCTACTAGCAGTGGGCTTGGGCTGGTATAAATGGTATCAGAGTCAAGCCACTTAAAGGTGTGAGGCACTGGTCAGAGTAGGGTAGACTCTCTCCATTAGTAGACGCATTTTAAAACCGTGAAGCTGATGGTAATACGTAATAGGTTAAAGCAGACAATATGTGTGTAAAGTGGTGCTGGTTTTGAACGAGGAGAGGGGGTTGTAAAGCATATATCGGATATATAGAAGAACATGGGGCCACATGATTCGGGAATAATGTGAAGGCTTTTGTGTTCTTGAGCAAGGCATTGTTATGTGACAATATCACAGAAGTTCAAGAGTTACAAAAACAAGCTGACCTTAGATCTTGCTGAATATGATCCACGGGCGAACATGCCAGAGGGCGTGGTGTCCTCTGGCATTACATGAGTGTAGGCCTCTACCTGGGGACTGAAAGTTCCAAGCATCTCTTTGGAGCTGTCAACTGAAACAAACACGAGTTACGAATCATCAAAACTCGAACTTGTATAAACGAAGAGACGAACCAGACAGAAAGAAACCTTTGACACCAGTTTTCCAGACAGTGTTGGTGTACTTGAGGCCTGCAACAATGTTGTTATTGACTTGGAAGGAGAATTTCAGGCTGTAAGGACTGCCTTCTTTCAGGGTAAACCACAGCCCTTTCAGGTTCCCGTCTTCCGGAATGGGAAGAACCAAGTCTGGTCTCTCAGGTGCCACTATTGACAGACTTAGAATCTTCACCTCTGGCTCAACAGTTTCTACAAAAACACATAAGAATTGGAACTCACTAACAAAACCAAGCCAAAAGCAGAAACCTCGAGATAAGTATTATTTTATGTGAGATCTCACATCAGTCGAAGAGTGTTCCTTTTAAAAGTGTGGGAACTTCTCCTTAGGCTTGCAATAGTCCAAGCCCACTGCTAGCAGATATTGTCTTCTCTGGATTTTTCTTTCTAGACTTCCCCGTTTGGGTCGGATAGGAGAGTTAGGAAAGGTTTCCACACTCTTATAAGGAATGCTTCGTTCCCCTCTCCAACCGACTTGGGATCTCACAATCCCCTCTCCAACCGATGTGGGATCTCTTCTCACACTCACTCCCTTGTGGGCCAACATGCTCACTGACACACCGCCGTAACCGCCTAAGCTCACTATTGGGGCTATTATCTTTGGGCTTCCCTCGAGGTTTTGTTAGAGAAAGGTTTCCACACCCTTCTAAAGAATGTTTCGTTCTCCTCTCCAACCAACGTGGGATCTCACATTTCAAAACAACGACATTCATTGAAAAACAAGGAAGAATTCTAAGTTATAATTACCTCCAGCGTTTTCTAAATCCACAGTCCCAATAAGCTGCTCCTTCCACCTCCTCAGACTCTCATCATCCTGAACTTACATACCACAAAAGAACAGAAACAAAGCTTATACACGCAGAAAATTGATCACAAAACAATCTTGAATGTTAGAACAAGAACAAGATTAACCTTATCCTTTTCAAGCTCTTCTTTCAATGTGAGTTGAGGCCCCAACTCGATTTTGGTTCCTTCATCATCACCCTCATCCTCCGTTGCATAAACAGAATTTTCACTCATTTGCTCACCAGTCTTCTCAGCTTCATTCCCCTTCCCATGGCTATCCAATGTATCTCCCTCCTCACGGTTCTCATCGAACCCCATGTTCTTGGAATCCAAAGCCGCCCCAACAGCCAAAGACATTCAAAGGGTTAAACCAACACAAAGAAACAGAACAAAACCCACAAAATACCCAACAAATTAGAACATAAACAAGCTCTATTTACTCATCATTCCCTTACGAGAAAACCCAGTAAAGAAATTGAAAGAATGGGTCAAAAACAGAGGTGGATCTCTTCCATTTTGTGTGGAGCAAAGAAACAGACAAGACCCAGAAAGGGAAAGGGGAAAAGAACAGGATCGAACAAGAACTAGGATCTGGTTTGGGGTTTGGGACGAAGAGAAAGTCGTGTGGTGATCCGAAATGGCCGAAAGAGAAAGAGAGAGCGTAGGCAGCATAAAGAAACGAAGAACTGGATTCATTGATTGTTATGGCGATGGCAGCTGAACAGGAAAGAGAGAAAGATTGTGGGATTTGAAAATTTCATAGCGGGGGAAGAATTAGCGCAGAGAATTGCGGGGGAAGAATTAGAAATGATGCCAAATTATATTATATACTTTATATTCATATATCATGGACGCATATATATATGTCACATAAATAATGTAAAATTAGATATATTAATGATACACATTTTTGTTTTTCTTATATTGATTTTTAAAATTTTGATGATTAAAAAGAAAAATAAAATTTGTTACACGTGGCGGCCGTTGATTAGAGGAAGATGTGTCAACTAATTATTGGTTGACAGGTTCCACATGTGCAATGGGTCCCACTTTGGTGGGTCCTCTTCACCATCCAAACCCATGCACAAGGGGCAAAAGTGTAGCCATTTAAGGGCCCTAAGCATTCAAAGGTTGATACGATGTCTAAATTTTAGAGATATGTCGATATCAATAGAAATATTAATATCTAAAATTTACATATATGTACTGCAAGGGAGGGGTGGAAAGAGAAGAGCAAAGTGGCGAACGAGTGCATGGAATTGGTCGAACATATCAGGCCGAATCCTAATCAAGTTAAAAAACATTGTTTTATGAGCTTACGTAGTGTTGGTCAGGTAAAGGTTGACCACGTTTAATGATGCTTAACTGGTCTTTTCGAATGATCAACCACACTAGGATTGAGACACGACTCGTACTCCCATAGAACTCACAATAATTTTTTTTATTTATTTATCCTTTTATGTTTTTTTTTTTAAATCAAACTTACAATGGTCGGACAGTAATTTTCTAATCCAAAATATGAGACATTTTATTAACTTTAAAAAGCCAACTTTATTGGGTGGCCAATAATACTAAAAATTGATAATAATTATTATTTAATATAAAAAATAATTATAAACTTAATATTTCAACTAGAATACACTTCAAACCTTATATTATAAAATTAATAATTAATATTTCAACGTTTTATTTATTTATTTTTCTATAAATACCTTATTTTATAATAATAAACTCGAGTTGAATCTATATATATAAATTCCTAGATCCATAGAAATTTCATACAACAATTATTTGTTCTTCTCCTTCCCCGATCGTGTCTGCAACGCCCTCCTTTCTTCATTTCCTTAACAAGCATTTCCATAGCCACCGTTGAGGTATCTGAATAATATTCCTTTTTTACTTTCTATCGGTTCGTGGGTCAACTTGAGTTGGATTGAAATTTTGAAAAACTATAAAATTTGGGTCGTTGGCCGATTGATATTTTTTAGTTAAGTCAAATTGATTAAGGTAAAAATAGTTACAAAATTTGACTGTTAACATCTAATGTTAGTAATGAGTTAATAATTTACTGAGACACAACCCAATTAAAAAATAAAGGCTAGAGTTGAATTGTGAACTTTTTTGGGTTGTTGGCGTCATTAACTCAATCCAAAATTTTAAGTTAATACAAAAGATTTTTCAACTCAATTCGTGTGCAACTTAACGTTTTTAAATCAAAATATGCTATCAAAGACACGTAACCTATTAAGTTTCTTATTGTTCGATCATGTTAACCTATAAAATTAAAATTTTGATGGACGGGTAATTTAATATTATATTCTCTTCGAATTTATTCAAAATTTTTGTAATATTTTCTTTTAAGATATTCTTATGGTAATTTGCAGACTATATCTCCAAATGCGGCTCTCCTAGAAGAAACAAATGTTCTTAAAGAGACGGCTGCAAAAGAGGAAGTTGAGGAACCAGCGCCACCGGCCGTCACACCGGAAGAGAAGGCGGAGAAAGAAGAGAGTGTTGAAGTCGAAACTGTTGCCGAACCGCCCCATTCCGAAGCGGCTGTTTTGAATGAAAAGGTTGAAGCAACGGAGGAAGAGGAGGAGGTAGAAGAAGAAGAAGAGGAGGTTGTGATCTTGACAGACGAGTCAAAGGCGGAGGAAGAACCCGAAGCAGTTGCAAAGGTAACGAAAGAAGAAAGCGACAGTCCTGACGAGTCATCGGCACTGGAAGCCGATGCACTGGCAACAGAGGAGGCAAAGGAAGAAGATGAGAAGAAGGAAGCCCCGGCGAAGAAGACAGAGTAAGGTAATATGGGATATTATGCATGGATGAGCATTATATGTAGTAGATAATTATGTATAGTAAATAGTTATATCGGGTAAAACTATATATAAGCTAAACCATATATATATATATATATGTATATGCTACAGGCAGAACGTTGAAAATGTACTTTCAATATTTTCTGTATTCTCTCTTTCTGTTGATACCTGAAGTCATCAATACAAATTTTTTTTAGTAATATTCTTGCATTTTCTCTATTCTATTCTTTTTGTTAATCTAGATCAAGTGTGTGTATAGTTGTGCGATCCTAACATTTATTTGGGTCAAATTGTATTAAGATTGAAACATTTTCTATTAATTAAAATATTTGAAACATATACATACATTTGCATATCAAAAATATCATTTGAGTTAAATGTAAAAGTAAAATTAGGGAACGAGCTAAGACTAAACCCTAAACTAAGACATTAAAAAGACTATTCCCCGAAACGACTTCCTTGGTGCACAGCTCTCGAATATTCCTTGCCTTGACCAACTGATCGATTATCGTCTAAAAAAAATAATCGATGAGTATAAAAAATACTTAGTAGATAGCTTTTGATTATTAGTTACAGTAAAAAAAAAAAAAAAAATTATATGTCAATCAATTTTTCTATATATACATATATATATATGACCATGTTTGGTATTACCCATAATACCAAACAATTATATTCGTCAATAATAGGGGTGTTTTTGACAAATCTAAAATATAATGGGCCAGTGATATTCTTCACGGCCCACAAAATGGCCCGCCCATAAAGAACCGGCTTCAAAGTGGAATGGCTAGAACGTGTTGCAGAAGATTTTAGCCTAGGAGCGTAAGATTCACGACAGCCAACCACGCGTTGGAACTGGACCAACACAATCTGGAAACTGCGAAATTAGGAACAAAGTGAAAACAAATTATTTAAAAAGAAAAAGAAAAAGAAAAAGAGAAAAAAACATTCTTATTAAATATTGTTTTTTTTAAATGAGACAGAAATATATAAAGTAATGTCGTTTGAGTGCAAGAATATATCGTGCAAAATCAAAATATTCCGACATGTCGTTACGAAGCCAACAGGAATAAGTGAAAAAAAAAAAATAAAAAAAAAAAATAAAAGAAAAGTTGTGGTAAATTTGAGGCCAATATTATTGTTATTTTATCAAATATAATTTTATTTATTTACTTTAATAATTCTACTCGATTGTATTATGATATTTTGAAATGATAACGGATGTCTTTGTACACATAGCTAGGTTGTTGCTATCTAAAAAAGACAAAAGCTAAGACCACGAGTGTGTTGATCGAAAGAGATATAATTACGTGCAACATAAGTCTTCATTTGATTATGCCACCCATTGTTAACGATGGTTGTTGCAAAAATAGTCGGTATCAGTCATGCTTTAATGTGAACCTAGTAGATTGGTTTAAATTCCACGAGTCAACAGAAGCAGTACCCTAAAAAACGATTCATTGATTCGACCATTTTTACTTTGTTTTATGAAAGAGGTAAACCTTACTCGTCAATCCAATCACAAAATTTCACTCCTGATCTAGCCTAGCTTGGTCGATGATAATATGAATAAAGTAATATTTTTTTAATTCACAAATATATAAATTTATTTATTCAGACACTCAAGTAAATAAAATCCCTATAATATTCACAATTTTTTTAATCAATAAACTAAATTCTTCTCTTATTTGAAAAATCCAAATAAATTCTCAAATCAAAATCTTTATATTATAAAATTAAAGCAAAAAAATAAAATGAAATGGTGATAAATACTAATTATAAATCAATCAAAATCATAGTGGGAAAACACTCCAAACCAATGTCATTAGAAAAATATATATTGTATTATAAAAACGTTGACTTTGACCTAAGAAAAAAATTTTAAAAAAGAAAAAAATTAAAAAAAATAATAATATAGGATTCCACTCGGACATTTATTAAATTCATAGTAATTTTGCAACGTAAATTTAAAATTCTGATTTTTTTGATCGAGAATATATTAAAATTTAGAAAATTTAAATGTTATAAAATGGTAAGAAGATGATTTAAGTGAAAGTTGATAGCAAGAGGATATATAGTGGAGAAGCACTCACAAATTGGCCATTTTATTCTTGTTTGTGGCAAGTCCTTATCACAAATACTGTTACTTGTTTCATTCTTCTTCCCACTTCCTCTAACAAATTGACCTACCACATACCCTTTATTAAAATATTCCCGATACACATATGTTTAACCGATATCAAAATCTTTCTCCAATTTGTTATGAATCACGACTCTCTACAATGATATGATATTGTCCACTTTGAGCATAAACTTTCATGACTTTGTTTTGGACTTCTCCAAAGAGCCTCATACAATGAAGATAATATTATTCACTTATAAACTTACGATCATTCTCTAAATTAGTCAATCGGGGACTCACTCCCAATAATCCCCAACATAATCGAGTCTCAATTGAAATTTAAAATGAATTTAAAATTCTTAAATCGGGTCTCAACTTATAAAGTGTCGTTTCTGGACAAATTTATTAACATCCCTTGAATCCTTGTTGCAATTCAGGTTACCGAATCCATTACTTTATTCTTTGTTTGGCTCTACTTACAAGCTTTTGATAAAAAAACGAGCGGTCTTTAGCTCAAAATCCCTAATAAATGGGTTAAATCGAATGCATTTTCTAATTCTTTTCTTGTGTAATCCAAAAAGAAAAAGAAAATAAAACATGTAATGTAGGATTGATTTGTGAATAATTAGGTAACATTGTCGGCATGTTGGGTTGGATAGGAATGGACCCCAAATAAATTGTTAAAAAAAAGAAAAATCTCACCCCCATTCAAAGGACCTTAAAAAGGTGACCATAAACCTACATGATAAACACCCACCAACTACAACACTATCTCAAACTCTCCCATTATTAAACTCCCAATCTCCATAACCTTCTTCTCAAAATAGCCTCTCCATCTCGAGAATCCCAT